GTAACATGGTTGGGGGTGCGTGACCCCATACCTGTAAAACTACCCATACGAGCCGAAGGCCCAAGGGCAATATCCATACGCCTAAAAGCCACGGAGAACAGAAAACACCGCACATCAGGCCAGACTGGCGTCCAAAGGGGATAACCGAGTTTCGGTGGGCTTACATACGGGGGTGGGGTGGGCCCACATACGTTCCAACATCCTCGCCAGACGTACTGGTTCCCATGTCATGGCCTCCAATATGCTCTGTTGATGATTGAATCCCTCTTCAGCACGAATATCATTATAGGCTGGGCATTCCAATAACACGTGTTTTTCATCCTCGATTCGGCTATTAGTACCACAACAGCGGCAAAACCGTTTCCCCCTGGGGACATGGTACTTGCCCCTTCGCGCTCTGTTTACCTCCAAAGCCCAGCAACATAAACGAAACTGCATTTATCCTACGATGTGCTAAACGAGGAATGATAACCTTAGCATGTGTTGGCCACATGACGGCTGCGGCTCCCGAAAAGGGCAGCCCCATCCAGTGCTTATACTTCACCATTTGCACTCCCGGTTGCTTCCCCTCTGGTGGGTACTCCTCTGGCAAGCAAGACAGTCAGACGCTCATGTGATATGCAGCGGCGGTGGTGACTGCAGGCGCGAAGGCGCGACAACGGGAGCCTCCCTCATTCCCACCGCGTTCGCAGCCATAGGGCAGCCATAGGGCCAGTTGGGAGGGGTGGAAACCCAAAGCGACAAAGGAACCCGCCTTTTGCCGGGGCTAATAAAGGAATGAAGGTTCGAGCGAACGTTTGAATCGGGAAGTGTCGAACGGCGGACTTTGTCAAATTGGGCGCCGCCATTCATCCGATCCTGCAGTCCTTAGTTCCTTCGCTGCCAATTAAATTCAAACACTTGTTTTCAAATCGATTCCTCCACTTGTCCAAACAAGGGCCAAATACTTTTTGCACATCGTAAACCGTGCCAAGAAAGGCCCTCATGAGGATGTATGTCGTACATTACGGCATGCATTTTTAACGTCATTAATGTGTACTTGCTAACGCGGCGAGAGTAGGCGAGCGAGGTGCCGGCTCCAAGTTGTCCTTCTGCCCTCTTAGCAGCTCCCTAACGTAGCTCCGTCTCACAGGAGTGTGCAAGCTTTACATTTTGATAGCCGTAAGCCGAAGAACCACCAGTAGGCCGAGTCGCCTACTACTTCATCCGGGAGTCGCAGATGTCGAAGAATGAATATGCACGCAAGTACACGCTGATTGTTCGTTGTGCATACGTGCGTACGGATGCACAACGCCTTCCGTGCCTTATCAACTTCAGCGAAATGCAACTAAGCACCCAGCAACCATCCAGCAACCACCCAGCAACCACCCGGCAACCACCCGGCAATCACCCAGCAACCATCCAGCAGTTAGTCTCCGGTCGGTCAGTGTGTATGCCGGTTTGCTGGCTTCATCGCGCACATTCCATCATCCCGATTAATGAATTACGCAGCGCGGTGGTCATCACCGTGGCGCCCCCTGCTGCGCACCTCGGCGGCCGTCCTGCGCATCAGTACTCGTTAGACAGCAGCAGCGAAGCGCTCGTGCAACCTGCAAGCGGTGTTCCTGAACACCAGCGCCAAATATTCACCGCAGTATAGAATCCCCCCTCGCTCGCGCACACACACATACAGACATTCACACATACAGACGTTCACACAGACACACATACACACATATGCACACATATACACATACACACAGACACACACAGACACACACATACACACATATACACACAGACACACACATACACACATACACACACATACACACAGACACACATACACACACATACACACATACACACACATACACACATACACACATATACACATACACACATACACACACATACACACACATACACACACATACACACACATACACACATATACACATACACACATACACACACATACACACACATACACACACATTTACACATTTACACATACACACATACACACATACACACATACACACATACACACATTTACACATTTACACATTTACACATACACACATACACACATACACACATATACACACATACACACATATACACACATATACACACATATACACACATACACACACATTTACACATTTACACATACACACATTTACACATACACACATACACACATACACACATATACACACATACACACATATACACATATACACACATATACACACATACACACATATACACACATATACACGCATATACACACATACACACATACACATACCGGTGTGTCCTCAAATGTCAGTTGTGCAGTGCATACGTCGGACATAGGTACAGAATTGATATCTTGGAGAGTTATGGTTATAAGAAGAAAAGTGCCTGCTAGCTAGCGCTGTTGCTTTCCAGGCGGCCAAGCCATGCACTCAAGCACAGCCAAGGCCCGAGCTGCCGCATAACGTTCAGCGGTCAGTCTGTCGCCATTGCAATCATCTATACAGTCTTGTTAAAGCCATCGGGAGTGCACCTTCCTGTGGAACGGTCCCCATGAAGGCCGCCCCGAGCTCTCAAACCCCACAGGCCCCATATCGAGCGTCAATGTTTCCCCCTCCATCCATGACCCCATGCACCTTTTGCCCTAGTGCCAGAACCACTCTGGGCCCTCTTCCATATCCTTAAGCAAACCTTGGGTTCCCGAGAACCTTTTCCTTCCTAGAAAGCGAGTTATGTAGAATGCACAGATCAAGCAAGCAACGGAGGTATGCCAAAAATCTTCACGTTAAGTTAATTGCGGGTGTGTGTGTTCGTTAATGCACAGCTAAAACTTAAGTGTGGGGCAGCGAAAACACAGCACAGCGCATCACAGCGCACATACATACAGCGCATACAAAACGAAATGTGATGCCGCGTACATTAGGGGGGCCGGTTGGGCGTGGCGCGGCGCAGCACGGTTTGGAATGGAAAGTAAAGGAAAGCAAAGGAAAGGAAAGGCGCGAAACTGTGCAGTGCACAGCTGAAACAAGAAAGGCGATACACACACACACACACACACACACACACACAAAGACAGCGAAGGGGGTTACCCGCGGCGCGGCGCGCGGCGGTGCGCCAGCCTCGAGTGCGAGATTGGCGAGCGCCGAAGTGGCCGCAAAAACGAAAACGAACAAAGGGGTCATGGCGCAGTTAAGGCCCGGTTGGGGCAGTCCGATGGACAAGATAGCACAAGACACGTCATGGCGAACTTTGCACACGACATACATACATACATACATATTTTACCCTTTCGCGCCTTTTGGGCGAGCCACTTCATTCGTGTACGCGCACACATATTTGCGGAGAGCCTGAAGCCTGATCAGGACATGCACTGGCATCCGCGTTGGCGGCTTGGCCCTTCTCACGGTCTTAACACAAGCAGACATACGCACGTACATATGCACAGGGTTCCGATCCAGCGGTTGCTGACGGGTCATGTACAACGCGACACCCTTGGGCGGGGGTTCTATCGGGCCCACCTGCGCGCCCGGACGCGCACATCCGACAGCGCTTAATAACCTGACAATGAATCCGTTGGTCCAAGCTTGTCAGTCAGTCAGTCAAAAAACAGTCAGTCAAGTCAGTCAATCAGTCAGTCAAGTCAGTCAATCAGTCAACGTCACTTAGTCAAAACAGCGGACCAGTCAAGGTTTAAAGTCAACACCAATCCGCCAATGCCAAACGTCAGTCAAACAGTCAATCGATCACCGTCAAACATTCACATCATCACCATCAGTCAATTAGTTAAATATAAATCATCCAGTCAGGAAGTAAATGCACAGCGTCACAGCGGCTTACTGTGGGCCAGCCACCATCCATCCATCCAGCCAGCCAGCCATCCAGCCAGCCATCCAGCCAGCCAGCCATCCAGCCAGCCATCCAGCCAGCCAGCCATCCAGCCAGCCAGCCATCACTCCAGCTTGTCTCCAGAACCCGGTTGAGTTCCATCCAGAGAGGGTGACCAAGGCACTGGGGAGCTTCGGCGGTCCGGCCGGCGGCTAGGTACGGCACCGTGCGGTGTGTCTGGTAGCTGATGTCCCGCAGCATCACCCTCCCCATCCAACTCCTCCTCGGCATCCTCCTCCTCTGCGGCATCCCCCTCCGTTTCCCCACCCCCCTGATCTGCCAAGCCCTGCTGCTGCTGCTGCTGCTGCTGCCGATCTGGCTGATGTTCGGGATGTTGCTGCACGTTGCGCCGCCGAAGCAGCCGCCGTTGCGCAGCATGCAGATCGAAATCCGCACGCGGTTCGGCAAGGTCGAGAGCCATTGCCGTGGGATGCTGCCCGTGATGTTGCTGCTGCTGCTGCTGCTGCTGATGTTGAAGAGTCGCGGTGTGCTGCTGAACAAGCTGTGGCGGCAGCAGGGTTGGCTCCGCGGCAAGGAGACCTTGCGGTTCATGGGCCCCCGCAGCGGAGAGCGCTCGCCTCCGCCAAAGAGGATGGCGCGGAGGGGGGTAAGAGTGGTATTGCTGGTGCTGCTGATGAGGCAGGCCTGCCACTAGCCCTGCAGCAGCGTCTTGAAAACCAGTGGCAGCGTCACCTCGCCTGCCCTGTACATCGGGCTGCAAAGGCTGGTAGCGGGATGACCCCGCTTGCGGCGGTGTGGCGAAGCGGTGCAGAGGTGGAGGCGGCGGTGGCGGCATCGAGGGTGCAGCAGGCAGCGGCACCAGCGGCTGAACTCCACTCGTAGTCATCGCTCGTAAAAGCAAGTCACGTGCGGGTGACAGCCTCGAGGTGGGAACCATGCCCTGACGTAGTGTGGTGCCCGCTTGCGGGCGACTTGGCGGCCGAGCCGCCTCTGTAATGTCCCGATTAAGCTCATCCGGGACCTCATCAAGATCCCTCTGTGACAGCTGGGCCTGATGCTGCCGCTGCCGCTGCCGCTGTTGTGTCCGCTCCTGCTGCTGCTGCTGCTGCTCTAGCTGATTCGGACCAGGGTACTGCATGGGGCGGTGGCGCTCAGGGGCGACACTTCGACCCGCCCCCTCTGCATCCTGTTGGCGAAAGCGAGCCAGTTGGGGCGGCATTCCCGCACCCATGCGTAGGACTGGTGGAGGCGGCGGGGGTGGCGGCCGCGAGGCCGGCGTTGCCAACGAGGGGTGCTCCACTGCCTCCGCCACCACCGCTGCCTCCGCTGCCTCGGCTGCCTCCTCCGCAGCAGCTGCTGCAGCCGACGAGGCTGCCCAGACATGCGTTCGCGCGCTGGTCTCCAGCACACCCACGTTGGCTGGATCGAAACGAAGTAGGCCTTCCACGGTCACCCGCTCACTACGTTCCTCGGAGTCCTCATCTCCTCGGTCCCCGGCACCCCCAGCTGACCACCGTGCGCGATGTATAGGACCAGGCATGGCACGGGAGCCACGCCCAAGCGTAGATCGTCGGGATAGACGTGGGTCACCACCGTGAAGGGAAAGCTGCTGCTGCTGCTGCTGCGTCGGCGGCGGCGCCGGCGGCGGCGCTGATGACTGCATGAAGCGTTGAAGCAGCAGATGAGGCGCAGGCGGCGTCATTGGCTGTGGCGGCGGCGGCAGCGGCGGCGATGACCCATCGAGGTCGGCGGGTTGCCGGTGGGGGGTTGCCAGTTGCTGGGCCGTACGAGGCCGCACGGGGCGCCTCTCAGAGCGTTCTCGTGGAATCCCCTCCCCACCAATACTAACAGTGCTGGCGCCGCCGCTCTGCAGCATGGCCAACAAGTCCGGATCAAAAGCAGGAGGGGGCAAAGGCGCCGTCACCTCCGCCGCTCTGGTGTCATCCCAGTTCGGCGAGCCCGACGGGTCACTTGCGGCGGCCAGCGGCTCGTGGGCAGGCGGCTGCTGCTGCTGCTGCTGCTGCTGGAGGAGGAGCTGTTGTGAGGGGCGGGGAAGCGTGTTCCATAGCCGCTGCAAGAAGGTAAGACCGGCGGCGGCGCCGCCGCCACCGCCGCCTGCGCTGCTACCGCTGTTGCCGCCAGCACCGCCACTGCCGCCGCCACTCCCGACGGATGCAAGGGGGTCCAACAAGGGGTCGGTCAGGGGGTTATTTATGCCCAGGGGCGGTTGTCGTACTGGTGCCATGGCTAACGCCGGCGGGGGCGGCGGCGACGACGATTGGGGTTCGTCACTGGGTAGGTTCTGGAGCTCGGGACGCTGGAGACCGGTTTGGAGCTCCAAACCGGTGTGGCCCAAATGCTCGTCCCCGCTCTCCACCGTCGTTGTACGGCGGCTGCTTCGTCGAGAAGGGCCCTTGGTAATGGGCATGCCGTTGCGCTCCAGCCACTCGCCCAGCGGCTCCAAATCAGGCAACACGCGGATGGACCGGTACCACTTGGCCATCCGGCTGCCACCCACCTGGGGCCGGGAAAGGCAGTGGTTAAGTAATGTGCATAATGAGCGGATTTTGCAGGTACGAACGGTCGTGGGCACTGCGCCGTACTGAATACGGCATTTGTAGATTGGACGGTACCATGAGATTTGGGGGCAGACATAGTTAGTTTTGTCTAGTGAGGATGTGTTGACCTTGCATGCTAAAGGGGGACGAAAAAATAATGGGGGGCGACGAGGCGACGGCTTTACATCAGTAGATATGTATGGATGAAAACTTCCAGGGCGTGCGTCCACGATTTCCCCCCCCCCCCCACACACACACACAACTTTGGACGGTGCGCGCTGGGAGGGACTTCAAAGGGTTTCTAAACTCCACAATAATGCTTCGAACGTCCTAGGCATCACGTTCAACAACGTGGCTGTCTTACGCATCAGGAACATTTTTTCTATACAAATTTCATACATTACAAATAAACTTGTTATTTTTAATTGGTAATTTGGGTCCTCTGCTTAATTTCTGTTGTGCCTAAATCGTCGCTGAAATGCCGCCTGCCTACGCGCCATTCCATCTGTACGATGGACGCACGTGTCGACCCGGCAACCCTCGCTACCAGTTTTAGAGTTAGTCTAACGGGCTTCAGCAAAGCAGCTGCGTGTTTTGGTTAACTGAGCACTAGCTCCGTACTGTAGCCTACTTGCGGCGCAAGCACCGTGTAATAAGGAATATATTCTTATAGGCGGTTGCGTCGGCACTCCATTTTTTTTATCAACACTCCGATTGACGGAATCGCGCAATATCAGCCATTTTTTGCCTATGTTCAAGGGCGGGAGGGGGGGTATAAATGGCCCGGGGGGCTGCCATTTCCCATGACGGAAGATACCCCGACTAATCGTGGGGATATTTGTAGGCGAGGGTTCATGGCACGTAATTTGTGCGCTCCAGATGTTTTGGCGTGACACAAGCTCCAGGACTTCCCCGGAGAGCTAGTTAGCTGATGACCTGCTGCTTTCCCACATACATATCGTGTGCTGGATCGCATCGGTCACAGCTTTAGAGAGTCTGGCCGTGTGGTAGCTGTGCAAGTCAGGGCGTCCCGAAACACGGCCCCCCGAAACCTGCGCGCGAACAATGGAGGCCTCCCTTCTGTGTGCCAGGGATGAAACCCTAAGTTTCGTCCCGTCCTAGAACCTGGACGCGTCATGACCCCTCTCACTAGTTCCTTCCTTACCTTCTCAAAATGCGATCTAGACATCCATCGCCCGTTAAAAAAGATGCAGTCACGGCCCGCTATGTACCGCGGCACGTCGAACTTGCCGACAGGTTGGCCCCTGACTGCGCTGCCTCGCGACACCACTTCCTCCCTGCCGCGCCTGCCCCCAGAGGCTGAGCTCGTGCGAACGGCTACAGTCACGTCTATCGGCCCGAGCAGTTCTGGAGGAGGCGGGGCGATATCCTCCAGGCCGGCAACGCCGGCAGCGCCTACACCACCCCAGGCGCCGTCCCCTCCGCCGCCATCACCCCCGTCATCCCCGCCATCATCATCGCCTTCTGCAAGGGCAGGGCCCATCCCCAATCCTGGCAACTGCTGTGGTATCTGTGACTGATGTGGAACTGGCTGATCAGGAGATGGAGCGATAGGAAGTGCTTGTAGTGGAGGCGGCAGCGGGTAGCGAATGACCTCCCTAGGCATCGGCCGCAGCCCAATGGCCGGAGGACCAGCACGCTGATGACCACTACCTCCTACTGCCGCTGATGCCAATGCAACGCCGGCAGCAGCAGCAGCAGCAGCTGCTGCTGCTGCTGATAGTGGCAGACGAGGGACGGTGGTCGGGTACCTGAGGGCTAACCGTTGTGGTAGTAACCGCTGGCGTGTTTCATGCATGTGTATGACTCCTTCGATTCTTCCGTCGCTACCCGGGCTGGCAGATCGCTCAAGAAGCGGTCGTACGGCATCTCGTGGGCCGAGCGGGGACGCAGTGGAAGTCCTGATCAGCTGCTCCCCAAGTGAGGCGACTCCCGAGGTGGTGAGAGCACCGGCGCCGGCAAGGGCCACTGCCGCCGCTGCCGCTGGCGGGGCCGTGGTGATGGCAGGTGTGGCAGCTGCCGCAGCATCCAGCTCGGCAGCGAGGGGAGAGATACCTGCGGCATCCCCTGTCAATCGCAGCAAAGGCTCAGGTGGTGACGGCGATGCCGCCGCTGCTGCTGCTGCTGCTGCCGCCGCTGCCGCTGCTGCCGCTGCCTCTGCTTCGCCGCGGCCAATGTCGTACACTTCCACATGTCCGGCGGCGGGAATATGTACTACGGGCTGCAGATGCGGAGGTTGGGGTGCACCGCCAGGAGTTGGCCTCAATGGTCTCAGGATGGGCCGTAGAGCGAGTTGGGGGCCCCGGGGAGGAGGTGATACGCTTTGCCCCGGCCTCCGGGCACCAGCGCTGCCACCGGTTCCAACGCCTGTGTTGGTCGCTGCACTTGCCGACTGCGGCTGCTGCTGCGCCTGTTGGGTCTGTTGCGTCTGTTGGGGCTGCTGCGGCTGCTGCGGCGGCTCCGGCTGCTGCGACTGCTGTGGCTGCTGCGGCGGCTGCGGCGGCTGCGGCTGCTGCTGCTGCTGCTGCGCTTGCTGCGGCGGCTGCGGCGATTGCTGCGGCGGCTGCGGCGGCTGCGGCGGCTGCGGCGGCTGCGGTTGCTGCGGCGGCTGCGGCGGCTGCGGCGGCTGCGGCGGCTGCGGCGGCTGCGGGTGCTGCGGGTGCTGCGGGTGCTGCGGGTGCTGCGGTTGCAATGACTGGGTTTGCTGTTGCTGCTTTTGCTGTGGTGGCGGTGGCGGCGCCGCGGGGGGAAGGTCCAGAGGGGCCCTTGGCAGCTGACCTGCTGGAATGGCGGAGGTCGGCAGGACGGCGGGAGGACGCTGCAGGTGCTCCAAAGGTGTGCCATCGCCACCCTCATCACTTGTGGGGTCGGCCTGGGAACAAGCCAACGGTCATGCAAGGGCAACTCCATGGTTACGGGGTGCAGATGCAAACGACGTGATGAAAACAATGGCTTGATGTGTCGTGTTGCATTATGGTTGGTATGGAGCATGGTAGGGGTTTTGGCTCGGTTTGGGGATGCGAATGAGTGTCTTGGCTCCCTCAGCGGAGATGGGGCCAAAAGGAAGCGTCGAGCCTAATTATCTCAGGTATGGGAGCGCTAGGTTATTCTGGCAACGCTGGCGTGCGCAGAAGCTATGGATGCAAGATATGATGTGACACCTGGGGTTCAGAGGTCAAGCCGGATAGGGTTGTGTAGGTCAGGTTAGTTTACGGTACTGACTGCCACACCAAACGTTACATTCTGTGCGGCATAATTACTGCTAAACCTGACCTGATGTCATCTGATTACATTAGACGCCATAAGTGCGTTGATGCCTGATAGTAAACGAGCCAGCATGACCTAGAACAGTTGCCGTCAGATCAGAAGCGGCCCCTTGACGGGTGCGGCCCTTCCCGACAGGAATCCGCCCTGCCTTGCGGCGGCCTCACCTCCATGCCGTGGAGACGTTCTTCAGCGCTTGCTTCAGCAGGGGCTCTGGAGGATCCAGTTTATGTCTGCATCTTGCGTTGGCTGCAGCGGCAGTTGCGGAAGCACTGGCAAAGCGGCGGCGGAAGCAGGCGCAGCAGGCTGAGGACGTTTGCCACGGCCGTTTCCAACCGGAAAGGAATGTAAGGAAGTTGACGCGTGTAACTGCGGCTTAGCTGTGGCGTCCCCCCTTACAGGTACATGGACGCGATCACCCTCGCATGAAATTGTGGGATGGTAGAAGGCGAGATCGTCCTGCAGGGCAAAGCAAGGGGACATTGAGTGAGCTGCTGTCCTGGCGGGTACGATTTCGGTTACGGTTGTGGTTACGGTTACGGCCATGAAACAATCTTGGCTGTGATTGCCGGAAACATTGCCAGCAATATTCGATAGCTGAGACAAGCTAAATGCGTATTCACAAAATACGGGTCTAGGTTTTGCAGGTTTGAAGTTGTGGGTTGAAGTCCCCCGAACGGTGTACGGGGTTACTTCTTCTGGTGGTTGTGTGATAATGGCTGGTCAGGGTTACAGTGCCGCGCTGCGTTACAACAAGTGCGAGCATGCAATTCGGCGAGCTGCGCAGGTCGCAGCAGCACTCGAGTTATTGATCTACAAGCTGTTATTTAATTTCCTAGGCAGACATTTGCGGCATTGAACGTGCATCACAACGCGACGGCCAGCGCTTAGCAGGCGTCTTACGCCGCAGGAGTCTCCGTTTTCGACAAGGAAAAAGGACGCTCACCTTTAAAATGTATATGTTGACTAGTCTTAAATGCCGTTTTGCGGCGGCCGCAGCGGCTTCGCAGGACCTGCCCACTGCACACCACAGGCTGGGCACCCGCAGCCGCCCAGGAGTTTTTAAGTACGTGTAATTAGCAGCAATGTTATTTTAAACATTAGTCGTTGCTTCTGCATGGATTGCGCAAAACTGCGGAGCCCGGCGGGCAAACACCGACATCGCCATAGCTTGTTGATAATTTATCTTACCTACCAATTGATTAATTCTCCTAGCAGTGATTAACCGGGAGCTGGTATATGCCCAAGCTCTATGCACCTTGGCGACTGTTGGTCGTTGACGTACGTGCTGCTGCACGATGCACCATTCTGTAACAATCCTAAGAGTTTTTTTATTTCAATGTTTCAATTGGAGATATTTTCGATAATCCTGTGGAGAAGTAAACGCAATTACGGGGTCATTGCTGTCAGGGGGCCCACCGATGTTGTGTCTGGCAACGTGCAATAAAAGGAACAATATGTACCTTATGCAATACATACAGCTGAAGTCAGAAGCTGACTGTAGCCATCGATGAAAGTACGGTGGACTCCCTTTACTGAAGGTAACGTTGTGGCGGGCGGGACATTGCGCGATGCCAAATAGACATAAGGCAGTGGGAATGTCTGTGTTCGCACACCAGGAAACTCTGTGAATGGTGGAATGAACCGTGTCGGATGGTCAGCAGTATCGTCCCTCCTTGTGCAAACCTACCGGCACTGTTTTTCGCTTATCTTTGGTTAAAGATGGAGGATCAACTACTTGGGATCCATATCCTGCCTTCATATTTGAGCGGGCCAAAGCCGGAAGAAAGTAACTGTCGTACGGATGTGCATCGTCGCTCACAAGGAGTCTCCGGCACGCAGTAACGGCCAAACTGGACGCCTGAGAAAGAGTTCTAAAAGAGGAATCAATGTGGGATTTTATCTAGCGAAGGTGCGCTATGGTGTGTGCGCTGTTTTCGAGTTGCGCTCAATTAAGGAATGTCTGATAGACCAAAATAAGTTGCAACATATCTAGGAAAGACATAGAGTTATATTTATGGTTTCCAACGGCGATTCAGTCACAACCGTCTCACGGCGAAGGTCGATGTCCTCCGAACAAAGTTCGTCGGAGCAAGCTGCGGGGCGCAAAACCAGAGAACTTAATGAAAAATGTACTTTTTATGAATATTTGGTTGCAAATAACGGTTAAACTTGCAGCAAGACAGAGTCTTTCTTGTTAAGGATACCTGTTAAGTCGTAACGGTTGTAACCCAGTCGACATTCGGCAGTCAGCAGCCGGCGCATGTGGCGCACGTTCGTGCTGGCTATTTGTTTAGCTGCTCTATGGTGGAGAAAGCCACTTGGGAGGTCTTTTGCCAGCTTGAACTTTCCTGATATTCTTAAGTACAGCAACTGCATGTGCATTTCCGCTGTCTTGCGCCGCTCGTGGAACACCTTTGAAAAGTTACGGATAGGATATTGAAGGTCTATCCACATGGCCTTTCACATGGCCTTTTTTGAGTATATTTAATCATACTGCAACTCGGTTTTCTGTTTCAAGCCGGTGCTTCCTAGTTTCCCTAACGCCAGTGCGTGGAGTTTCAATCGCAGGCGTCTTATTTAGGTGTCTTAAACTCTAAGACCCTGTGGGGCTCTTCCTTCCTCATATGAGACGATTTGTAGCTGCGGAGTTAAGAACACCCAACTCCCTAGCACAGCCACACATACGCATACACACAGCACGCAATAGCTTAATTAGAAACACAATTGGGCGAAAGCCATGAACGCCGGCCTCAGCTTGGCCGGGTTATTACATATTAGACCGCCGCCTCGGCTACCGATGCATATCTTTGGGCGCAGTGGTGCATGTTTAGCGTGATGAGGTGCGGTGCGTCGCATTTGTGCTGCTGCTCAATGAGAGCGAGGGCGACGACGTGGTGAAAAAAGGCGGGGACGCGTTCCTCACCTCACCTTTTGCCGGCGGTCCCAGCGGACGGTCAGGCTGGCTTTTTGGTCCCATGCAGGCTATGCATACATTACCGCAAGGGGCCATGTGGGCCGGTCATGTGCCCGAGGGTGGTTGCCTGCCGGCAGAGCAAGGCATATGGCGACAAGGAAAGGCAGGTAAAAATGCACACGTGCGCGATATTGATGAGTGGGACAGGGGGGCATATCTTCACCCGTGGCCGCTACCTGGCGAAACCCTGCCTTCCCTAATATTTCGGGGCACCCGCATCTAGTTACCCTAGTTAACTTCTCTGTGGATCGCTTTGGTTCCGCACCCACCATCGACACCCAACAGAATCTGCCAGATCGACGGTCAACAACAACTCAATCAATGGCTCCTTCTGTAAGGCAAGGGCCAGGTAACAGTGCCGGGTCGGTGTTCATGGCTGTGGCCATGTATCGCCTCCCATGCTCCATGGCTGACACCGCAGCAAGAGCCACAACATCTCAAACACATTGTTGGACTGTTTATGGAGCTTGGACAAGCCAAAGTTGTTCACGCGGCACTGGCAATCCTGTTGACAGAGTGAGTTGGTCCACTACTGCCGGTGCCACAGGACAGGCCCAGAGGTGATGACAGCGAGGGGACACCCCCCCCAGGGAACCTACTGGATAACCTCCACACCCACACACTGCAGTTTCGTTTATGTTTCTAGGCTTTGGAGGCAAACAGAGCGCGAAGGGGCAAGTACCATGTCCCCAGGGGGCAGCGGTTTTGCCGCTGTTGTGGTACTAATAGCCGAATCGAGGATGAAAAACACGTGTTATTGGAATGCCCAGCCTATAATGATATTCGTGCTGAAGAGAGATTCGATCATCAACAGAGCATATTGGAGGCCATGACATGGGAACCAGTACGTCTGGCGAGGATGTTGGAACGTATGTGGGCTCACCGAAACTCAGTTACCCCTTTGGACGCCAGTCTGGGCTGATGTGCGGTGTTTCCTGTTCTCCGTGGCTTTTAGGCGTATAGATATTGCCCTTGGGCCTTCGGCTCGTATGGGTAGTTTTATAGGTATGGGGTCACGCACCCGCAACCATGTAACACACACACACACACACACACACACACACATACACTGCTGGTCGCGAAATCCTGCGATGGGAACTTCCTAGCATAGGCACCCCATCAACCGTGAGACGCCACCAAAACTCATTTTGTTCATTTTCTTATCGTATGTGAGATCATAAACGATGGAAGGCCCGTTGCAAAAGTAAGAATAGTTTCACCAAGTACCACAGGAGAGCCCGTCGCCTCTTCAATAAACAAGGTGTGGGATACTCGACGAGCCACAGAAAATGGCAAAAGTTGCATGTCAGTCGCTAATTCAACGAATAAATCTTTAAGTCTGATGGGGGGCCCTCCATTCTACTTAGGAAAGTTACAAAGGGATTGGGCTAGTGAGGTCCGCGGCTGGAGGTATTGCCCCATTGTTTGATGCCACTGCCATGCCCTGCGCATTGCCAGACGTGCCTGGTCGGGTGCATGCACCACCACACCTAGAGCATCCCGCACAAGAAGAACATCCCCCGACGTTTGCAGTGCCCTACAGCCCAGGAGTGCTTGGTGTCGAAACTCCAGCCCTGGGCAGATGTTAACTGACGGGACAGTCAATCTCTCTTCCGGAAGAACAGGGTTTCCCCACAGAGGCAAACTCGAACACCGCGCGTTAGGAACTAACGGATGAACGTCAACCTCTTCAACTGGGGGAGATATGCCAACGCTGTAACAATGTGCTGAACATCTGGCGTTAGAACGATTACCCCAAACCAAGGCACCCCCACCTGGGGCGTAAATCGGCACATGATATTGTACGTCGGGTAAAGGGCATATGCAGGAAAGAGGGCATGACCAACACACCCAAGGCGGTCGCGTCAAAACTGCCTGGGCTATCGCCCTCACAAAACGCACCGCCCAGCACGCCCATCACACTTTAACATGCTCTCGAACAGCTAGTGCCCCCAAACCGCCCGAAGATGGATGGCCATATAAAACACGTTCTTAGGAACCCCAGTGGGCCATCTTGTCATGTGCATCCCGGCCGCGGCCCAGGTCCCGATCAAAACGCTTGGCAGCTTTAGCCTCTATGTTCATTAGTTTACTTCTGGGGGAAGCCCCCCGTGTACCATGTGCCACGTAAAACTATGCAGCCCATAGGTGGCCGTTGCCTGCGCATGCCCAAAAATGGAGAGGTGCAGCATGGAAGTGCGTAGGAATCGAGTCCAGACCTTGTCCAATTTCATGTCCCAGTCCGTGACCCGGGTGTTTTCCCCACATCTGTAAATGGAAAAGTGGGGACCGTAGCCATGTGCACCACCTTCATATCATGAATCATTTGCACTTGGTGCAAACTTGCCCCCAGAAATTTGCCCAAACTGCTGTCAAGGTGCGATTGGTCGTGGCAAAATTGGACAAGAACGTTTCCCTCACGGTTCCCAGGAAGGTTTCCTCTTGCAGCTGCGCTTTGCATGGTATTTTAGTGCGTATTATGTGTACGGCACGGCGAAGGTACGGGTACGGTATTTACAACCTTATTCTGCATGATTTTGTGTACGGTCTCTTTTCCACCACTAGCCCAATTCTTATCCTTCCTGACGCTTTCTCCTAAACGCGGCCCACGGGTTCCTTGTAAAGTATACATCCGAATAGTAAAAGAGCAGACAGCGACACATCAGGTCCATACCCCACCCTCGGCGGATAGAGGGTGTGGGCGGGCACCGAACGACTGGTTGCGAGGAAATCGCACGCACGCACGCACGCACGCACGCACGCACGCACGCACGCAGGGCACTGTTGTGCGACACACACATCAAACGCGCACGCACTTGACAAGATCGCCATCTTATGCGGAAATAGAATAAGAAAGAGAGAGAGAGAGATGGAAAGAGGGAGTGGTTCAGTGTCGCCCGGGATTTGAGGCCTCTCGTTCGCCAGCTTGCTCGGAAGACTAAGAAAAGCATACGTCCTAAGGGTATCCCGAGTGTCGTCCGATAGGTCCCCATCGAAAGCTAGGACCGGCCTCAAAAAAACCCTAAGCGATATCCTTTTGTACTGGCGTCGTTGAATTCCATCCACCATCAGATCGAGCTCACTAATCTATCCAACAAATCTTCGCGCAAATCCCGCTCAGTCCACTTTTCCGAGCGTATGTAACCGAATGTTCTAACGGCTGTCTTTTCCTAGCTAGCACCGTACAACTGTATCCGGAGCGATCGCGGCCCCAAAACCTGGGTAACGACATGCTGGGCAAGAATCTAAAACCAGGCGCGGAACGCTACTCTGTCGGCAGGCCAAATACTGCTGCAAGCATCTGCGGAGATTACCACTGCATTCGTCATCCATTCGTACCGTGTCACCTAGACCAACTTGCACCATGTTCTCAATCATCAGCGGCAGAAAATGGTGTTACCAGACGTGTGCCTTAATAATGGATTGTGACATTGAACCTGACATACAGGTCAACTCGCCCTCCGTTTATGCTCTCCCCATCAGAGAGCCCTCCGCCGTCAGATACCTGACCTCATTTTTTCGCAAACACACATAAGCTGCCTTAAATTATCGGCCTGCAGAGAGAAAGAAAGAGAGAGAGAAAAAACAGACAGGCAAGAACACAGCAAGAGTGTGCACTGGCACGCGCGCGGTGGGAAGGTGGCTGGCTCCCGTCCGGCGTCGCCTGCGGATCGGCACGACCTATGCCATGGGTTTGCTGTTGGTAGGCTAACCGCAAAGTCGGAGTTTCGCGTCCCCGGGAGGACAGCAAGCTGCCATGGTACGCTGGCTGCCACTATCAGCGGCTTGCACCGGGCTTCAGGGCTTCAACAGCAACCTTTGCGCGCCGGCGCGGCTTCCGTCCGCTTGCATCCCGCATTCTTCACACCTTCAAAATCACATAATAGCGCGCTTTTAGACAAAGAAGGAGGGCGCAGTGAGATATCGACAACAGGGCCGTCAACTGGCCATAAACGACGGCATGGACATACATACATATAGGCAAAGCAGCGTTGTAATCTACGCGGTCCCGTGCCCGATGTCTCAGCCTTAACACGGCGGTTTTGCGTCCTGCCCCTGAACGTTGCTGGATCCAAAAAGCTCTGACCCAGGCGTTATAAAGTACTCCACAACCCTACAGTGCCCTCAAGAGGAAATAGCCTGCCTTGATGAGCCCACTCTTAAGAACAAATTTTCTTTTCAGAGCCTTTCACTACAAAAAACACGCATGAATACATAACCCCTTCCAAATCATATGCGAGAACAAGCACTTCCCTTGACCACGCACATAAATACAGATACATGCACATATGCGATATCTCCTCCTCAGCCTTTCCCACATGCATTTCTGCTTTTACACACACACACACACACACACATACACACACACACACACACACACACACACACACACAAAGGCACACACACACACACACGAAGGCATACACACACACAGGCACACACACACACACAAAGGCATACACACACACAGGCACACACACACACACACAAAGGCATACACACACACGAGAGCGAACTTCGCTGGCACAACATCCATCTTACATAACCATACCAACCTCGCCGTGTTCTTTTCGCCGCACTCTACCTTGCATGTTTCCATTTAATGCACGCTTGGTGCAGTATTAAGTGTTTTAATAATGTGCGTTGTGCGACAACCGATTCTGTGCGGCCTGTGTTCTCAGGGCCGTTGTCCTAATCCTAATGCTGATGGCGCATCTTTTGTTTTGTTGTTCTCACTGTGCACCCCCACCCACTCGCCCCGCGGCACAACGTGCATGCCTGGCCCTCTCTTCTCTCTTTCCTCCTTTTAAAGTAGGCATGCCAGTCTTTGACCTGGCACTCAGCGGTGTAAAAGCATGAACAGAAAACTAGGTATAAACACAAGTAACGCAACATTATAAACCCACACACGGGCGATCCAGCAACCAACCCGAAAATGCAATCTATGGGCGCATGTGGCCGCTGCCCCCTGTCCTGTCACCATGTCACGTCGGGGGCCTGAATTGAAAAACTGCGTTGCACTAATTAGCCCGCCCGCCATGATGCCATGTACACTTCAAACTTGGCAATTTTTGGCCGCACTATGGAAGCGAGATCACTTTACACCTCGTGCGGGGGAGCCTCCGGGGGAAATAATTCAGTCCGAAAGGGAATCATCTCCAGAGCGTCTCGCCTGCTGGGGCCAGTCCGTTCGGCGCCCCTGGGACTCCCCTTGCAGGACGGGCCCGCCGCGGGGCCGCCGCCACGATGATGCCGCGCCCTCACGGTTGGCTGCCATCACTGGCCGTTGCGGCGTGTAGTACGCTGGCCGACGGGCCGCCACGGCGGGCAACGACATCGCTAGCGGCGGCACTTGCGGGTGCTCACCTTTGGCATCTCCGACTGCATTAAATCCGCTGCGGTACGCATGGCGCCTAGTGTCATCCGCCCAATACTCCGCCACTCCTCCTCCCTCCTCCTCCTCCTCCTCCTCCTCTTCCTCCCCCTCTTGGTGCTCGTCGTCCTCCCCCAGTTCATCGGCTGCTGCTGCGAAAACGGCATGCGCCCGCCGTCGGTGCTGTTGCTGCAGCAGCATCGATGGCGGGGGGTCTTGCAGCCGGGCCATATGCTGTCGTACGGTGTACGGATCAACATCTATCGGATCGTGGCCGTTAAGCTGCGGGAACGGCGGCTGACACTCTCCCTCTCCCAGCCTCTGCCGCTTGTGTGGTAGCTGCTGTTGTTGCTGCTGCTGTTGCTGCTGTTGCTGCAGCAGATTTGGTTTGAGCTCGGCGGGAAGCCTTGGAAGAAACCTCGACGGCGCCTCGCACACCGATTCCCTCTGCCGCCATACGTCCTCCTCTTCCTCCGCCTCGTCCTCCTCTTCCTCATCCTCCCACGGTCGGCGCCGACGCCGCAGTGAGGCTGCAGCCGCAGCCGCGGCCGTGGCCGCATTGCTGGCTGCGGCCCTGCGGCTGCCCTCGCCGTGATACGTGTCAGAGCGCCCATAGCCAAGATCCCCCGATGCTGAGATATGCTCCGGCTCTGGTGCATGTGGCCGGTAGCGTCTCTGTCCCGTATAAGATTGCCCCAAGTATTGGTTCAGAACCGACGCAGGGGTACGCGTCAAATGATCTCTGCTGTGCCCTGAAAGGCCCCCACCGGCAACATCTAAGCTCTGTAGGGCGGCTAGGCCCCGCGCCAAAGTGGCGGCATCCAGTACCAATGCCGACGCCTGCTGCAGGGGTGCCGATGGTAGCGGCGGTGGCAGCCGACGCTCCTGTCGAGGCGGCGGGCCCCCAGCAGTAGCAGCAGCAGCAGCAGCAGCGGAACGTGTCGCTGCACTGGCAACTGCTCCAAAGCCAGCAGAGGCAGGGTCTAGCGCTGCAGATTCAGACGGCTCCACCCTCCTGACACGTGCGCCGTTCGGCAATGCCATCCCGGAAAGGGCTCTCCGAGCTTGCGGAACCTGCGACGGTGGCGGCGGCGGCGGCGGCTGCAGCGGCGGCGGCGGCGGCTCCTTGAGTGCCCGAGTTGACAGGTCCACCCCCACGGCATTGCTGCGCATGCCCACCCCGCCATCTTCCTCCTCTTCGTACTCAGCTGCGGCATCATTACCATAGTAGTAATCCTCAACCGCCATAAGATGCTGCTGTTGGGCTAGGAGGCGTCTCAGCAGCTGCAGCTGCTGCTCTGTACGGAAATGCGCCGCTGGCATGCGACCGCTGACGCCACGGCCGACGCCGTCCACCACGCCCGCCGCCGCTAGGCCCGCCAGGATATCCCGGGAGATGTGGGGGTCCTGAAGGTCAAGGTGAAGCATTGGGGGCGTAGCCAACGCTTCGTGGAAGGACTGAGACCGTTCTAGGCCTCCACCTTGCTGCTGCTGCTGCTGCTGCTGCCGCATGCGTAACCTGGCCGTATCGCCTGCCACCGAAGATACATCTGCGGCTCGGTTGTATCGCACAGACGCAGCGGCTGCCGCGGCCGCGGCGACGGCCGCGGCGCTTGGTGTAACACCTATGGCAGCACCCGCAGCCTCTGACTTGAGTGCTGCCTGCACCTTTGCTAGGCCTTGCATGTCAGCGCCTGGAACGCCAGCAGCGCCGCGTGGTGGCGGGCTTACCGAAGCAGCTCCGCTTACACGTCCTGCCGGACCATGTGTCAGTGAGACGCTTCCATGTGCGCCATAGTCACCGTAAGCAGCGTAGGCACCGTAGGCATCGCGGTCAAACTCCTCGTTGTTTGTCGCCGCGGCGGCGGCGGCGGCGGCGGCGGCGGCCGCCACTGCTGCCGCTGCCTCAGCAGCAGCGCCGCGAGAGAGCGGCATCTCCGGTTGCATCGGCAGAGTGTTGAGCAACACCCGCAGAAACCTGGCGTCAATGGGGCGGCCGCTGCGTTGGTGCTGTTGCAGGAGGCGCTCCGCCAGGGCCTCCAGTGGAATCTCCGCCATTTGTTCCGCTTTTAGCTGGGGAGATGGACCCGCAGATCCCACCGCCTGCACGCCAGCCGATCCTGAGGCCGCGGCCGCGGCCGCGGCCGCAGCTGCAGCCGCCGCAACCGCTGCGGCAGCGGCTTGTGGCGAAAGCTGCCCCATGGGCGTCCGGGGTGTAAGCGGTGTTCCGGACGATAGTGGTGCCATAGGCGGCATTGCTGCCGCGGCTGAGGCTGGTGCTGCTGGCGGCGGCGCTGGGCCTGGCGGCACTGCCGGAAGAGCCGCCGTGGGGTCAGCTACCCCTTGGCCTTGGACGTCATCTGGGCTTGCCGCCACACCCTCTTGTTCCGCGCCTTGCCCCTGCTGTTCCTCACCGTCGCCGCTTTCCGCTGCTCGCTTTCGACTGCGCCGCGCGGGTCCCTTGGTAACTGGCATGCCGTGGCGCTCCAGCCACTCGCCCAGCGGTTCCAAATCAGGCAACACGCGGATGGACCGGTACCACTTGGCCATCTTGCTGCCACCCACCTGTAGAGAGCGGAAGGCAGAGGAGCGATGAACCCCGCATGCAGCTGTTTCAGTGGACATGGGTTTGGTACAGTATGATGGGCCGACATCCGGCGCTAGGATTGCGCCTCGAGTACTAGTTTCTTACTGAACCCTAGTCCTTTTGCCGGGGGGGGGGGGAAAAGGTCGCTTAGCGAGCCTTAACAGCGATAATGCAGCACAATTTGGGCATTATAATTCACAAAGATCATCCACTTCTTAGCTGTCCAGGAGGCGCCTCCGAGTTTCAAGGGCGGATCTGCGGCGTCATATTGGAAAGTGACCGACACCCATACCAGTGCATGGTGACAGCAGCAGTTGGACCCGGGGGGGTCCGTGGCGCTTTGCAGTTCTGACAGGTTATGAGCCCTGATAGCGCTGGGCGCTGCGCCGAAAGGTCGCCGAGATTTGGATCCCACTGGCTTTTGTTCAGAGTTAGAAAAGTCGGGATGTGGATATAGGGGATTCCCTGAGCGAGCGAGTGTCGCTCACGGGAACAAAGGTTGGAAAGTGACCGACACTCATATAACAATCAATTGTGGCAGAAGTTATAGGACCCGAGGTGTCTGGCGCTTTGCTGATTCAAAGACATCTAGCTGCAGCCGTTATCCCACAAAATGGACATGAAGGCATTGAGGCATCCCATGGCCTGAGACCATATAGCAGCACTGGGTCTTTCAGTAAAATACTAGCTACATAAGCCGGCCATTATGTAGCTTGTCCCTTGATTCCTGCTTTTGGCTTTCGACGGAGTTGGCGGCGGGCGCGAAGTCGTTTCGGCTAGACACAACTAGCGATGTTTGTTTGGCATACAGACAACGTTCGTCGACGGACCTTCACAGGACGGATTGCGCAATCCGCAAGCCATTACATTCAGTTAAATTATAGCATTAAGTATGAAGGAGTGAAGCGGAACAGCATAGCAGCTAGGTTCTGTATGCGAGCGGAAAACGATGCCGCGGCATCACGCTGAGGCACCTGCGCAGCACCTACCAAGTTTCGTCTATTTGCGCGTAATTCAACGCAAAACATCTTGAATTTCATGTTAAATTACTTAATGAAATTATCTAGCTTTAGATCGAGCTTGGAGCTTAGTGCATGGGTTCTAAGGACAAAGTTTTAATTGTGGCGACGAAGTTTCGCGCCAAGCAAACGCCTGCCAAAGACCACCGCGACACACATAATTTTGCATGCGAAACAAAAACCTACTTTTGTTTTATTCATTTAAATAATCACACTTTATGCTGCGAACGGGTGGATCAATGATGCGCAAACCAGCTGGACTTCCTTTTCCCCTTCCCTGCACTGCCGCCACGTCCCCACCTTTTCGAACTGCGAGCGAGACATCCATTTGCTGCCATTGTGAATGCAGTCCCGACCGGCAAGGTAGCGCGGCACGTCAAAGACGCCGCAAGCGTGACCTCGCATGTATCCGGAGCGTGTGTCCTCCTCTGGTACCCGGCTGCCGCCGCCCCTAGGTCGTCGACCACCGGCGCCGACGCGTACGGCAACCGTCACTTGTATCGGCCCCGGCGGCAGAGCCGCCACCAGCTCTTCCAGGTTTTGCGCAAGGTCTTGGTTTGGTTGGCCTGGTGCCTCGGCGCAAGTGTCCGTTGTATTGGCGCCGGCAACATCACCGCCATCAGCGCTGCTGCCGCCAGCTCCTTGTCCTGCATTCTCATTTGGCTGCACCGCATCGTCGGAAGCCTCAGGAGATTGGCCGGCGGATGCTCGCTTCGGCTGCCCAGGCGGCGGCGGTGATTGCTGTGGCAGTGCTGGTGGCGGCGGTGAGGACTGGTACTCCTGTATGTTTTGCGGCTGCACCGGCGGGACCGCCGCCACCTCTATGGCTTCACCTGTCACCTCCGCCGCCGTCGGCGACGACGGCTGAGGCCGAGCGGTGCCTGACGAGACGCTGCCACGCCCCACCTCCTCTTCACTGTCCGACACAGCAGAGACAGCCACCGCCTCTGGGGGAGAGGCACTGTGGGGCCCGGCCAGACGCTGCTGATCTTGTTGTTCCTGCTCTTCCTGCTGCTTTTCCTGCTGCTTTTCCTGCTGCTCTTCCTGCTGCTCTTCCTGCTGCTCTTCCTGCTGCTCTTCCTGCTGCTTTATCTGCTGCTGCTGCTGCACACCTTCGTTGGATGGCAGGTCGGCTCCCAACAACTCACCGCCGGCGGTGCTGGTCGCGGGGCCCTCTGTAACCATTAAAGAGCCAATTGCCGACTGGAGGGTAGCAGTCGTAGCTGGACGCAGCTCAGGTTCAGAGGGTGAGCCTTGTGACAGCCCGTCATCTTCACCATTTGGACCGGCGGCTCCGCCACCGCTGCTGCCGCCGACACGCCCACTGCGGGGGTACGCAGCCACAGACGTCAACGGTGGTTCTATGCTTTCATCGTACGGCAGCTCGCCACTGGTGACGGGCCCGTACGCAGATAAAGCCGAGCAAGGCGCTGAGATAGACGGCAACTGCCGAGCTGTTTGTGGAGTACCATCGGCATTGCGAACCGTCATTGAGTACAAGATCGGGCGGAGGGCCAACGGGGTCGACCCACGGCCAGGCGACTGCACCCGAATGTGACTAAGGGGTTTCACGGCGTCATAGCCGCCGTTGCTGCCGCCAGCGGGGGTGGCGGCGGATGCCAGCTCGGTGTTTTGGTCAAGCGCCATTTGCTCTAGGGGACGCGGCTGTTGCGCAGATTGTTGCAGGTGCTGCTGTGCCGCAAGCTGCAGCGCTTGCGGCTGCAGCTGAGGTTGCGGTGGCATGTCTTGATCTTTTTGTTCTTGTTGCTCCGGCTGCGGTGATTGCTGTGTTTCCGCTACCGGTGCAATGTCGGAGTCTTCCTTACGGAAGCCGATCTGCGAAGAGGACAAGAGCACGCAGGCGGTCGCATGATGTGAGTGGATGGGTCGTAGGTTGGATGCGTGGGCAATCCAACGTTTCTGGATGTGTGCGTGTGCACACAGAGCGGCCGGAAAGGCGATGACCATTGCGGTTTTTAGTCGTCAGCATCAGAGCCTCCTGCCCACGAATTCTACATGAAGCTCACTCCCATCATCCATGACCTTTTTTGGGAAGAGTAGAATCCAGGTTTCCCAAGAACCGCACGCACTCTGGAGCATGCTGGGATGCAAGTGACGCGCATTATTATCAACTTCAAAAAAAACAATACTTGATGGGGCGCAAATCGAGGATATCCGATTGAGGCAGGATTTTCGTATGGTGAAGGTGCTCCAGCCGTAGCTTTACCATCCGTGAGTCAGCCCTCGAAGCGTGCGTACTTTTGTCTCTGGTGGGCATGGTCGTGCCGGGCGCGGCATTCGACGGTTGCAAACAAAACAGCAATGGCCATGCGACGTGGCCGTTCTCTTTCCGTGCTCCTGCACTTTTGATTTGCTTTTCCCTGTTGCAGTTACAGTCTGCGTGCCTCGGAAGGGAACGCGGTAACCCGGAAGTAACTCCTGTGCCTTCGGAACCGCCTCGGCCGTCGAATCTGCACTAGCCTTACGGATGATCCTGTGCGCGGTCTGTGGATCCCGGCCATTTGAGGTTTATTTCTTTCCAAAGGTTATTTGTTAATGCATGACTTGCGCGTTTCGACGTTGACCACAAAAACTGTTGGGGGAGAAGTGGGAAACTTTCGCGTGTGTCGCTGCGGAACAGCGGAAATTCCGTTCGGAGGACACTTTCAAACCTAAGCAAGCGGTTTAGCGATTTCACGTTGAATGATGTTTCTGGCACAGCGTGCTTACCGTAAGCGATCTAAATTGCCGTTCGATGAATGCGTTGTTAGTAAGCACCAATGTTACAGGTAAGCATCGTTATGGTGTGTACGCAACGGCATGTAATGTAATCTCTATCATTCGAAATATATCACCTGAGACCAGGTATGGATAATGCTTTGATATGCGTCGCGCAACCGCGATACACCGATATGGGTCGCCTTCGCCCGCATCCGCTCATTCAAACTAAGCGATGATATGATGCAGTGAACATGGCAAATTTAAGAAATGCACTTTCAACGTGCGCTTTATCCTAAATCTCTATCGGTTTGCACTAAGAAATTCGACTGCGTTACGGACAGGCAATCGCTCGGACTAATGCATTTTAATTAATTTGTTACATCTGATATCAATGTAGATATATCCCCGCTGTAAACTTTCAAAGTACCCGAGCTCCTGGGCGAACAACGCCGTGGCTGGACAGCGTTCGTGACTATCTCTGTTATCTGGGGCTCTATTTTTGACAGCGAGGTTGTGATCTTTTGGTTAAGCATGCTAGCTTGGGCTCAGATCCCGGAGGAAGGCTCTCAGATCAACGCATCCCGCCTCGATCTTCCAAAGGGGAAACGCACGCCTCGCAGGACATCAGCGCATATGCGCGTGCGTTGAGGCAACGCGCTAGACATTATTGGGCATCTAAATCGATTCCATTTCCTTGGAAATGAAGCTCACCCACCTGGCCTGCAGCCCTTACAAGCCCCCTGAACTCCGTTCCCTTGTGCTGTACGCTAGTGCCACCCCCTCCTGTCCCAATCACGCAGGAAAGCCCCTTTTAGCCAGCCGCCTTCCAGATCCGTTGCGCGCACTTCACACGCGCAAACGTATCGGGGTCCGCAACCCTGACGCACTCCCCCGCCCTCTCCACCGTAGCGCACGCAAGCACGCTCTCACCTCCATGAAGCTGCTTCGCAGCAGCAAGGTTTTCGGGAGTTCTCCTCTTCCTGGGTGGTCCGGATGGGCGCGAAAGGCGACAGACGGGCAACCATGTTAGCTTGGAAAGGCGCAATAATAAAGCAGGGCCCCGGCAGGAATCCGACATCGAACATTGGTGGGACTTCGGCGGGTAAAGGAAAGGAAGGACTGCAAGGACGAAAACAGGCCGGCTAAACTACGAAAAGGATAATCTTGTAGAATTAAGCTTTCTATTTGAACAAGAGCTCTCCCTTTTCGTGCAGGGACGGGACGGGGCCGGTTAGGTGCGGGGAGCCGCGGAGATATAAGGGGGAAAAGGGGAAAGGGTTGTGATACGCACACTTCATGGCCAAAATCGCGTAGGCAGCTGGCAAGCCTTACCTCGTTACATAGGTTTGTTGGAGTACTAGGCAGGTCCTTGGAAGATCTGCAGACAATGCAAAAAGCACAAGGTAGGAACACAAAGTCGGCAATGGCTGCGGTGGTGTGAAGGTGGAGTGCCAGGGTGCCGTCGGGTTGGGCAGTTTTAAAGGCATCTGTGGTGACTGCGTCAGTATTTGCAACAACCAGAAAGGAAGGAATGAACGCGTGCGTCTGGGATCAAGCTTGCGGCTGAAAAGGTTGGAGGATATGAGGGCGCGACGTCTGAAAAAGAAGCGCAGCGGACGGAGCTATTTGTACAGCTGTAAGGGAGATCAGGAAAAAATGTTTTCACAGCGCTTGGCATGAGCACGCCGGTTTTGAGAGAAAGCCTTCAGTGGCGCCGGAAAATAGCACCAAGATTCTCTCGAGCAAATGCTTTTGCAGGTCCCTGAGCCTGCGTTATTTTGACCTAAGCCTAAGCTTGAGCTTAAGCCCGCCTCGATAAGCAAGAGAAGGTGCGCGCTTTGGCAGAGGACAAGCCCAAACAAACGGCCAGGAAGGCGGCCCAAGGATTGTTAGTCCGCGCAGCATGTGCACCGCCTAGATTCTTACAGAATGCTACTAGTTCATACTGAATGCCCTTGCTGCAAGATGCTAGTCTCTAACATCCAAAAGAGCTGTCATGAGCCCCACACACAGGTACCTGGAGGTCCGTTAGGAAGCGGAACAGGCTTACCGTTCAAGATTTTGGAGAGGAAAACGTTACGCGCAACGTGTATGCTTCAACAAGAGGGCTTTGCCATAACGCCGGCCGACGGAGACCAGAGCAGGAGGAACGTCACTAAGGCTCCAACTGTGGTTATCCACAGTGAGGTGACGAAATCTCGTCAAATGTCGTTATAACTAAGTTGTATGCAGGAAGTTATCTGGACAAGTGGTGCCCATCGGGACGCCGACATTTGCCCTGCTCCTCCCGTAGTGAAAGTTCTGCTGCACTGTCGTGTATATCAGTAGTACCAAAAGAATTATCTTGTAAATAATTGAAGAATCTGACTGCAAGGCAAATGCCACAGCGACTGTTGTTCGTTGGCGTACGTGCTTCTATCATGCGATCGCGGTCTCCTCAGCCTACCTTAAAAATTTGTTTTAAATGATTCTCTAAATTTTTATGGCATAAGGACGGGAAATGGACTCCAGAGGACTCTGACGGGGGTGGTGGGCGTTGCTGGCACGTCGCCCACCAAGAAAATGCTTCCCACAGAAGAACGCAAGCAAGGCTGCAATTTTTGTGTGGAACTTCAGGAATTCTTCTTGAGCATTGCTGAGTGGTAAGCGCCTGCCTGAAGGGCAAAAAAGTTACCACAAACAGCAAAAGTTAGGCCGCGGGACACGGCTTCATTTGCAGCTGAAGGAAGCATTATTTTAACATAATAACAGGATTGAGAATCGCCATTTCGAATTAGGCTAAAGGACATTTCTGACTATCATGGAGTGGATGGACTACCAGTCCTTTGCCTGTCCAATAATTGGCCAAGACAAATTCGGTAGAGCTACAATATGGAATGCATGACCTAATACAAAATAACTATGCTAGCCCAATGGAGTCATGTGCAATGGACCGCGTGCCGGTTGACCCTACCTTTGAACTGCGCAATACTCCACGTTGTTCCAGTTCCAGCAGCAAATTTCAAGGTAGCAAGGATACGCCATTGCTAAGTGTTGGAGTTTTCCTGGAAAACTAATATGGCTTTCCAAAGTTCTAGCCGACGTTGACCGTGTGGGTTATTTTGCGTTATACGAGCGAGGTAAGCCAGCAGCCCAACGCATGCCTATCAACTAAAGTTTAATCTTCAGAAATAACTGGAATGCGCTAAAATAGTTGTCTGGGCCACAAACCTCAGACGTCTGAGTCTCAACGGTGTAACTAAGAACAGCAAGGATACGTTATAGCAAGGGCTATGAGTGCTCCATATTGTTTAAACAGTTCAATTAGGAAGGGTCTCCAACGCAACGACAATGTACAACAAGTTACAATGTACGTTCTTGCATTGGCTTGTACGCATTTATCCCAATGCCAGATACGGACAGGAATTGTAAATTGAGAAGGGTTGTGCATCCTTAACGGACTCAATAGCCCTTAACCAGGGCATGTGCGACTACGGTGGTTTTAGCTGGAGACCGAAGCTACGGAGCTTGTTAGGCCATAATCGATCGTGTTACACCGTTTCAAGTCATTCCTGGCGTCCCATACTTGGGCAGTCTTGTGCATCTCTACTTTGCGACCGTAAGGTGAAATTTTATTAAAGGCCTTGTTTTTTGGAATGCCCTTTGGGCTTATTGGCATGGTAAGTCGCTGGTTCATTCCCCAAACCTATATCTCCGCAGCCCTGCTGGTTTAATTGTTTGCAGGCTGATAGGTCCTTAATCATTTCCTTATGTTGCAGGGTAATATGTCCTTGGATGGCAAGTGTCAGGGAGTCGCTCTCTTGGCGGTAATTATGTCGTAATTTGTAAAGTTGTAAAGGGACTGGTATAGCCGTTTGCCATTAATTATGCTGTTAGTCCCGAACTTAAATGGGCTGGGATTTATGTAGGGAAAGGCGTAACACGCGCTTGTGCCCCTTCGGGTCCTTCGGAAACAGAATATTATTACTCATGCGAGGAAGCGCAACTGCTCTGACCCGCTCTTGCTAGTTTCCAAAGCAATAGAAATCATGGTGAAGATGCCTTAATATCACTTTACGGAACTTCCTACAGCTTCCTCTTTGCACTGCCATGCTCCTTCACTTCACATTTTCATCGACCTGCTAGGTGCATGCATACCGCGCTACAGTTCCTTAATTGAATCGTAGCGGTAGCTGGCCAATAAGAAAACACGAAGCTGAGTCTCGTACAGTTGTCAACTGCTATATACCACGGCCGTACCGATCTTAACAGCGACTGCAAACAGACGGAGCCCTTCCTGGACGAAGGAATGAAGGGATGAATGAAGGGGACATCCATCCCTGGAGAGCCGCTTCATCTTAGCTTAAGGTTTCTGCGTACGTGGGATGTGGAATGTAGAGTGTGTTAGGAGGGATACGATCATCAACAGAGAATGTTGGAGGCCGTGAAATGGGAGCCAGCACGTCTGGCGAGGATGTTGGAGCATATGTGGGCTCACCGCAACTCAGTTATCCTCTTTGGACGCTAGTCTGGGCTGATAGTGCGGTGTTTCCTTTTCTCCGTGGCTTATAGACGTAAAGGTATTGCCCTTGGGCCTTCGGCTCATGCACCCCCAACCATGTAACACACACACACACACACACACACACACACACACACACACACACACACACACACACATACACACACAGGCGGTCCGAAACAAGCTAAATTACAACCGTTCGGAAGCTTGCGAACACAAATAAAACGGGTAACACGCCAATAGTTGGCACAACACGCCAATGGCATTGACAAGGAGGCATCGGAAAAAAATGTGCTGCCGCTGCATTAGCCTCCAGCGCGCCTATTTGCAGGTGCCCCATGCAGCGCACGGCGCTCTAAGACCGGGAATGGCGGGGAATGACGGCAGGGCAGGTTTGAAGTACTGGGGGGCCCCATGGCAGGACAGGAACTGGAGACGGTGATACAAAGTAATTTTACTTGTACAGCTTGTTGCTGTGCTGTTGCTTGTGGGAGCTTGGCATCGAACAGCGCCTTGGGCTGCGATACCCGCAGCACAGGCCGTGCTATCGTCACCGCTGCCATCTGCACCATGACCGCCCACCTTACCTACCCACCTACCTACCTACTTACCTGCCTATCTACCTACCTACCTACCTACCTACCTCTACTTATCTACCTACCTACGTACCTACAAGCGTCATGGTGCAGGCAATAACGCGCGGCGGCCGCTCTGCTGTACGACAGCAGTACGGCCTAGGTTAGATCGTTCGGAGGAATACCGGAGCCTTGGAGCCCGGGGCCTCCTCCTCCTCTCGCAGCACCTGTCATAGATTAGAAAGCTGGTCCCACAGAAGCAAACTGACGGCAAACTCAGGTACATTCTCCTCAGGATCGGCGCTCACACCATTATCCCTTTCCATCTCCTAAATCCTCTCCCCCCTCATCGCTCGCCCCTTTGCATTCTGTTCTCGCATTTACGCCCTCCCCCTTCCTTCGTTACCTCGCTCTCCTCTCGCACTTCCCAACCCCCCCCCCTTTCCCCACTAACTCTAGTCTCCATCACATCAGGCCTGCATCCCGGGGAACGCTACTCTCCCGGTACAGCATTTCCAGCGGCGCCTGTACGGCAAAAAGGTATGGTTCCTTCGCTGCGTCGCATTCATTGCCAAGTCCCGCGTTGGTCGTTCTATGGAGTAGCAGCCGCGGGCGCACTAAAGGGGCTGAGCCGGGGTAGGGCTCCTCAACACGCACCCGCTTTAGGAGCGGCGGCAGCCCAGCTACTCCATTGCCTGACGGAGCTCCTGCCGAGCTCAAACCGCCACTCGTTGGTAGCAAACGGCATTTTAGGGGGGGGCCGCTGGAATGCTCCGCAGTACTTGCAGGTTCAGCAGCCGGGGGCTGGGAGTGGAACAGCCTCGGACTCCGGGGCGCGTTGCTCAGCTGCCGACCGGGCGCGCGCGCCCACGGCAGGAACAACGCGAGATGTGGTGGCGCTGGGGGTGGCAGCGGAGTGGCTTTCATGTCCGGTACAGCTCCCAGCTGTACGGCGGGCATTCGTGCGTTGACATCGCGAACCTCCAGCTCCAGCGCCGCCGCCACGCTCAAACCCCCATGCGCCTCGTTCACAGCGACATCCCGCATTGCCATGGGTACCAGCGTGCCATTGGCTGGGGGTGAGCATTGGCTGAGGGTGCATGTGGCCGCGGGCAGCAGCATGGAGACTGGCGGCGCCTGGGGACTGTGCTGCGGCCCCACGACGCCGCGAACGTTGCCGTACGCGTCTGGGAAGCAGCGTAGAGAGCTCACGGTGGCGCCGGCAGCACCGGCGGCGGCGGCGGTGGCGGCGGCGGCATGCTCAGCGGATTTGTTAGCAGCGGTGGCAGCCGCCGCATGTGCTGGTGGCCGAAGGAAGGGCTGCGACAAGGGCCAGGTGTTCAAGAGGCGCTGTACGAGCAAATCGTCGCCCCCGCCTCCGTCACAGTGTTGCAGCAGCATGCGATTGGCCCAGGTCTCCGGTGAAGGCGGCGGCGGCGGCAGTGGCGGCTGCTGCGCCGCGACGGCGCTGTTGTCTGGCTCGAGTTCTTCCTGGGTGCCTTCCGCTGCGACTGGGATGGTCACTGCCGCGGCGGCGGCGGCATGGATTCCACACGCAGGGCCGGCGGCCTCTTCATCGTCTTGCCAGCCACCCATTTCATCACCGCTGTCCGCAGCCGCCCTTCTGCGGCGACGACGGGCAGGACCCCGCAGCACTGGCATGCCGTGGCGCTCCAGCCACTCGCCCAGAGGTTCCAAATCAGGCAACACGCGGATGGACCGGTACCACTTGGCCATGGTACTGCCCCCGACCTACGTTCGTGTACAGAACGGAGATGCCGGCCTCGCCGTTTGTGGCTCGCGGAGTGGAGGGAGTGGAGGGAGTGGTGGGAGTGCGGCGACAGAGCACAAGGCGGGAGTGCAGACGGCAGACATGCAATGGCAGACAGGCAATAGCAGACAGGCAATGGCAGACAGGCAATGGCAGACATGCAATAGCAGACATGCAATGGCAGACAGGCAATGGCAGACATGCAATGGCAGACAGGCAATGGCAGACAGGCAATGGCAGACAGGCAATGGCAGACAGGCAATGCCAGACAGGCAATGGCAGACAGGCAATGGCAGACAGGCAATGGCAGACAGGCAATGGCAGACAGGCAATGGCAGACAGGCAATGGCAGACATGCAATGGCAGACAGGCAATGACAGACAGGCAATGGCAGACAGGCAATGGCAGACAGGCAATGGCAGACAGGCAATGGCAGACAGGCAATGGCAGACAGGCAATGGCAGACATGCAATGGCAGACATGTAATGGCAGACAGGCAATTATAGACAAAACATGAACGCTGCTTCAATTTTGTCCTTTGGAGGTCATCTGCTCGCAGCTTCACGCAGCTTCAAACGTCCACGACAAGACCTATCTTGCCTTTCCGTACCTTTTCAAACTGCGACCGTGAGATCCAGCGGCCGCAGTGCCGTACGCAGTCACGTCCCGTCAGATACCGAGTGAGATCGAAAACACCGCAGGCTGGCCCGCGCAAGTAGCCGCCGTTATGCATCGCACTGACGGAAACATCGGGTCCGGCGCGTTGACCAGCGTTGCGCCGTTGCGCAGCACCAGCCTTGGGGCGAACTGCAACAGTGACATCTATTACTGCCCAAGGCATTCCGGCAGCAGCTGCAGCTGCTGCTGCGGCAGCAGCGGCTTCGGCAGCGGCATCTGTAGCGTCCACATGACATGCACCGAAACCATCCTCCTCCCTGTTGCTGTTGTCAATGGGTGGGCATCCACCGCTAGCTAGGGGGATTGCTGCGTCCCCGGCGGCGCCGCCGCTGCCACAGGCGGGAGCTACGACAGCAGTCGTGGCCGTTTCAACAGCGGCGGGGGGGCCGGCTGGTGCTGCCACGCCTCCATAATCGTCCCCCAATTTTGAAGGACGCGTACCACAGGGATTTTGTCGCGGCTGGAGCTGGAGCTGGATGTACTGCTGCTGCTGCTGCTGCTGCTGCCGTTGCTGCAGAAGATGCTGATCACAATTTTGGTGTGAAGTGTGTTGCAAATACAGCGGCTGTAGTAACCGGCTCGGCCAATTCTGGCAGCCTGAGTCAATCGCCGTGAGCCCCACCGTTGCCGGCGCTGGTAGGGTTGGTGCCATCGCTGGCCCGGGGCCTACTCCGCCCGTCATGGAAAGCCGCGGAGCCGCCACACGCATCTCAACGTCCAGCAAGGGTGCCTGCTGTTGCTGCTGAGGCAGCGGCAGCGACGGCGGCGAGGCTTGTACTGGCACAGGTTGCTCGAAGTAGTCCGCCTCTCCTGCACTCATTCCCATATGCAAACAGCCACCGCCGCTGCCGCCACCACAGCTGCCACCTCCAGCTTCATCCGCTTCTGCGGACCGCTCGTTCATAGGCCACACCGGCCGCAGCAGCAGTCGCGGCGTGGCGGCAGTAGCGGCCTGGGGGCCTCCATCCCGCGATGTGACAGCTGGTGGGGGCAGCAGCGGCTGCGGCTGCAGCTCTGGAGACGAGGGCGCAAGGTCGAAATCACTCTGCGCAACGTTGTGGTCATATCGAGGGCTGAAATCCCGGCTTGTATCGCCCTCTAGGTGGCTGCTGGGTGTGTGCGGCTGGCGCGCGGGCGTGCTTGGTGGCGGAGGCGGCAACGACTGCTGGCTGGTTGCCTCACGCACATCTACGGTGGCTGTGGGCGGCGCCGGCGCCATCATTGCACCGTCACCGTCGAAGGAAGGTCGCCGCACGGGGTAGATGCGATGCGGATGGAGCTGCTGATTAGACAGCGGCGAGATCTTGAGGTTACCGGCCGTGGACAGGGTGATAAGGCGGCGTTTCATCGGCGGAATGATGGTAGAACGCTCCGGGGGCGCTGCCGCAAATGTAAGGCCACAGGCGCGACTCGCACCAAGGCCAACCCCGGCGTTGCTGATGTTACCTCCCCCGGGGGCAGCACCGCCGATATCGCCACTGCTCGGCTGCAGCGGCCGGCGGCTTGCGCTTGCAGGTGCGCCATCGTTGACTTCCTCACAGAAATCCGCCTGTGAACGTGTGCAGCATTGGTTTGGAACAAAGGAAATAAACTGTTTGCCTGGTGTGTGGGGGGAAGGGCTGACAGCTTTTTAGTTAGTGTTGGTTGAGACATCTGGTGCATGAAGGTACTAGATTCGGGTCGAGCCTATTAAGGCAGGTCCACAATCAGCCCCGAAGCTGCTGTCTCCGCCGGCCGTCTGTTGGGGGCCTCCACACACCAATAACTTAGCGGATTTCCGAGTGCTCCCTATTAACGAAAGGGAGATAGGGTGGCCTGGCACATAGCTGGCGAGCGTGCTCGGGCTTCTTGTATTTTTCGATTGTAAGCGATTATCGATTGTAAGCGATTAACGTACCAACGCAGTACTACACAGTTACGCGGCTCGAGGCCACAATACGTCGCAACCGCGCTGGAAACATTTACACCAATCTATGCATGAGGTCTAAGTATAATTATATCGGCCATATTGGTAACACTGATAACTTGGACTATTGAGATGTTACATCTCCGGTGCAGTAGCGGTCTGGGCCAAGGACTGTAGTCTTTGTCCAATTAACAAATCGTAGTGGACAACGAGATGAAAATGACTATTCATAGCTACTTGGACTAAATGCGTGCGAAAGTTTTCTGCTTATCTGGGGGCTTATTGGGACAATCGCTTCTGGTGCTGTAGTCTTTTATCAACGACCGTTTGGATCGCTGGGTTCTGTGAGAGCTGCTTAAGATGATGACGCATTTCAGTCACATGGAAGAGGAAGGAAAGCCGGTTCCACACCGCTGTATCCCACGCACTGCTGTGTCCCATATGTTGCCGGAACATGCGACTAAGGTGCTGTCGCCATTCCTCTCATTAAATAGCTTCGTAGCAACATAAACTCCAGGCTCATATTGCGCTCGCACCTCCAAGAAATGACAAGTGAACCGCTGACCCGAGCACAGATTCTGTGGCGACATATCTATATGAAGCTTTCCAGTAGTAGTGCTTAAGTATGTCACCAAGTCCCTGCAAAACGGGCCAGTAGCAGCAGCAGTTGAACGTTGCAAACCCGAAACGAACTCTGTCATCAATTACAATGAACTCCACAACATGACAACAGCATTCCATGTCCATTAAATAGCAAGCTTCCTGCCTATATTCCATGTTTATTTGCTATGCGAAAGCGAATGCGTGCAATAGGCGACGTGGGGACATTTGAAGTTGTACATGATTTATTAACTACATGCTTATGTGCTCATCACATTGTAACTGATTGGGGACAATGGCAGTGCTGTTGTGTTGTGGGTCAGTTGGCATTGACGTTCGCTAACGGACTCGGCTCGCGTACATGGGCAAAAGGTGCATATGAGGAACAAAGACCCACTTACTGTGATCAAGCAACAAATTACGACTAGCGTATCACAGTTCTACTGTTGTCCTAGAGGATGCATTCCAAACGGTTGAGCAGTGTAACTAGCTATTGTAATGGTGAGCGGGAAAGGGGTAAAGTTGCTGGGTTGCTCATGTCAAAGGTTGCACAGCACTTCGGCAAAATTTGTGAAGGTTAGCACAGCAGAAAAGCTATCGGCCAGCAGTGAATGAACTCTACCCAACGCACACACTGGATACGAGGAAGTCTTAGCAATATCGGCGATGCAATGACAATGTCTTTTAAAAAGCTCATAGATTTAATTGTTCTTTCCCTAAAGCCCCCTTCTGTACCAGCAGGCTGTAGTTCCTCGTACGGCATTGTGCCAAGGTACAGCTGTGACCTGCCCCGTTGTATGTCAGGTCATTTCTTTCGATTGTTTCTTTCCTTTACATCCTGCATTGTAGCGACCCAGGAGGCGGCCTGCTCGCTTGGACCCTACCTGCTTAAAGCTATGGTCACCTTAATCCTTCGCTGCGCAAATTGCAAAAATTATGTGCTTGTAAATATCGTTTCCAATTGTGACGTCAGCGGCGACATGCAACACGTGCATGCATTCCAGGCGCCACGTCCGTAGTACAGGTATGTAAGATCAAAGGTTCAAGTTCAAGCTGTCTTCTGTAACCGCAAGCGTTCCGCCTGCATGAATGATTAGCTCTTCAGGATTCGGAATTGTGTGCGAGTATTCAGGTCCTTATGTGTAACATTGCACAAAGCCGAGTGGTGGGCGTCGGAGTGCGTCAGGTGCGTGGGGGAACGCTTAGCGTCGTGCGTCGGCGACATCAACGGCTACACGACTGGTCGGGCGCCGCAGCATATTCAATTAAACTTCTTGTAATTGTAATCCAAGAATGAAAACTGAAACGCTTTCTACAACTGTTTCTCTTTTGCGCACCCTCAACGGCCGCAGTCCCAAGCATCTTGACCATTGGAGGCGCTGCGACGCGAATTGCCCTTCTTATGCATCATCTCATGAAGAACAACAACTGGTATCATTTTACACGGTACGCGTGGAAACGCGTCGCATGAATTCCTAGCTTAAACTGGTGTATGGCGCTCACAATTTTCCTGGACGACGCGCACATTTGATGGCCCCATGTTGCCAACCGTTCCACGCCATCAGCTACTGCGTGCGCGTATCTGCATCCCCCCTCACTCACTCACTCTTTCTCTCTTCCCACGATCATGTTTCGCTAAATAACAACAGTCCGATTACCGTTCTCGGGAACATGGCAACGTACCAAGCACCGAAAACAGCGAAATCTACCAAACTAAGCGACGGCAGCCAACGGGGAGGGTGCATGATCAGCGCTAAGGGTGCATTCGAGTGTTTGGGCATGGAAGAAGGCTATTATCCGAACACGCTTTGGTCGGCCAACAGAAAAGCCGCATCCAAAGCCGCGTATGGAACCGTTGGCCACCGTTGGCTCGCTTTTTTTTTCCCGGTAGTGAATTGCTAGCAGCATCATAAGCATTATGTGCGTGTATTGCCATCAGAACTAAAGTGCGTCTCTCGGCCCACCAGCGTGCTTTCATCCACGGCATCCATTCTGCACTACTTCTAAGTCTACGGGTTATAGGTAATAAGGCGCGCCGGGCCGCCATCCCGTACCGTACGGCATGGGCCATGTACGGCATGCTCCACTGCAGGGGGCCAAGGCCATCACATTCGGCATCGCACACTCATCCTGGAGTCGCCACAGCTGCTCCCACTAACGAGCTGGGGAGCCTGACTTGCGTTGCCAATACAACACCGTTGCATCGCCAGGAAAGAGGGGCAATGCACCAATTGTTAGCACAATTACCACGTCAGCATGTAATCAATAAAGGGCGGTCGCGATTCTAGCGGCAACCGCAAGTCCTTTCCCGAATTTCTGGCTTAAACACTTTTTTTTTGGGGGGGGAGCGCTCTTCTCTATTATCGTCTGCCTGACCCGTACCGTACGGTGCCGTACCATTCAACATCTTAGGATCTAGCACCGCGCAGCCATACGAGGTAGGGGCAGATGCCCGCGCACCCGCGCGTCCATGAAAGGATTGCGCGTTGATCACAGAGATTACTCTAAATTCAAGACATACTGAACCAACAAACTGGACCGGCACAACCTAATAGTCGACCGCAAGCGACGCTATCGAGCCGTGTCGGAGCTATATTCTTATCTTATTATATAATGCTCTGATCATGCCAGCAGAGCGGGACAGGCAGGGCCGCACGGCCACCAATCCGAACCCCTTAGTACGATATAAAAACTACGACAAACTCTTGATGAAACATTCGGCTAGGTTCGACAGCCTACCTGTGCAAGCTGCATGAAATAAGCAACTTGCAACTTTCCAGACCTCCAAAACTCCCGCCGCTCCGATGATAACGGCGTCCATAATTAAAAAACTTCAGCCATGCTAAATTTTATTAGTAAAAACCTAAGTACTCAAACGATCCTAAAACAGGAAATCTGAACATCGCAAGCCTGTTGAGAATGTGTGTGCATGACATCGGTAATAAGATAGCGACAGGTCACGGCCAGGGACGGACACACGCGCGATTGTTGTCGCGCATCTTGGAAGTCAAGCAGCTCAAGATGACTGCGGGCTCAAGTGGAGATGCTACTTGAAAGGGCAACATGCGGTTCGAGGTTGCATATCGCCACTTTATAAAGCTTAATGACTGGAAAGTAGATCGCGACGGCGAGGACGGCGCGACTTGCTGTGCTCATCCTTACGGAATCGCTCAAAGTTGCACAGCACTTTCAGCACCCTGTAAAGGCAGCATGTGCAGGACCTCGCCGGACTGTCGGATCGGGATGGGAACTATCAGACGCACCGATGCAAAATAAAACAAAACCTTCCCCAAAAGCCTATATCCTGGATGGCTATTTTTTTCTCAGCACCAGCGCTCATAACAGGGCAGCTACAAGAACTCAACACTATATTACTTTAAAAATTGAGAGTATGCTAAGGCTGCCTAAGACTGGACCTTTCTCACCTTCCACGCAGTTAATACGGAACTTTATCAACGCGGCCGCATATCGGCCGAGACATTTTGGCGTGGCAAGGCCCTGGGCTCCCGGCGAGCCCGTAAGGGCATCGGGTGTCATGGCGCGGGGTCACGCAACCCCGGGCTTATAACGCATTTACACAAATACGCAAACCGCATGTACACAAGCGTGCACGCCTATACATACAAACATACGCTCTTGCATACAGAGATACAGCCAAACACGCACACGTTAACACTCTCTCACGCTCGCAGCCTCTCAAGCAACCTTCTCAAGCAAGCGGGAGCTGCTGGGAAGCTGCGTGGTCCGCATGGATCGTACGACAACTCAGCGCGGGTGGCTGCCGAGGAGAGTACGAGAGCAAAGCGCAAAGGTAGCTGGCTACTCCTACTGCTGCCGCGCGCTGTTCACGGTGCCCGCCGGCGCAACCACGCGTTTGCGGATGTACGACGTCAGGATCTGCCGTACACGATCCTGCACGCAGTTTGCACAAGCCATAAAAAGCAACAGGGGGCAAAAGAGTCAGTCGGTGGGGGTCAGCATGGGAGAGGGGGGTCCCAGAGCAACGCAACTGTTCTACTACGGATCACCGAATCTTGATCGGGCTAGTTTACTGGGGGATGTTACAGTGGGCTCCAGACTCACGAAGGGTAGAGCCAGCGGGCCAGGCACTGGCCGTGCATTATTACTGCACCTGAGACGATCAGGGCAAACAAGACACCCATCCAGACCACCAGACAACGCATGTCACCTATCTACCAGACAGCAGAAGGCGACCCCAAAGGGAAGAAGGCTCAGAAACCCATAACCACGGGGGGGTTTCTAATAAGCTCCACAATCGGCAACAGTCCCCGGACCTCCACCAGAAGGCCTCCACCAGCAAATATTTAACGGAACTTGCACGTTGGGTTACCAGCTGAGGTGGTGCTGACTTCACTGGTGCTGACTTTACTGGTGCTAGTTTTTACCACCCCTTCTACCGTTCCAACGAGTTGTCATAACCCTACACGCATGCACGTCCGCACCTGCCGTGCCGCCTCTCCGCGCCGCGCCGCTGCCTCAACCACATCCCCAGCCAGTGTCTCCGCCAAGCTCTGCTCAAGCTCCGAAGCTGTCACTGGTGCCGCCGTTGTCGCCACTCTTAGGCCGGACTGGCTGCGCGCAATATCGAATGTGAGCGGCCACCAGTCCGCCGTCCTGCACAGTGTTGTTGTTGGGTAACAAATACCCACGAGGTCCGTGGGAGTGGGGATCGGTTTTGTATCGGTTTTAGAATCGGTTTTAGTATCGGTTTTAGTATCGGTTTTACCGGGGTTATGGTTGGGTTAGGTTGGGTTTCTTAGGAAATATATTAGGAATTGGTGCGGTACGGTACGGTATGGTACGGTACGGTGAGGTACGGCATTGTTATCTGCAGGGTACGCGTCCGGGTCTTCTGGACCTCTGGGCCCGCCGCCCACCTCACCTTCGCGCCATAGCGTGGAACATGACCATGAAGGCAAGAAGACGCTCCAGGGAAAGATACCTGTCGCGTCGGGTTTCGGAGGAGGGAGGGAATACATGCAAAAAACCCAGGGAGGTGGGCATGGGTCGGGTGGGGTAGTCGGCAGGGCGATAGGCTAGGCCGGCAGTGAGATGGGTTTGTCTGAGGATGGAGCGATGAGCAGGCTGGTGGGAGGGTGGGAAGGGAGTAGGGAGGGGCCTTATGGGATAGCGCGCTGCTGTGCTAGAGGACAAGGCCAGGGTTGGGGACCGGGGGAACCGCAGCTTCCATGCGGCTGGAGAACGCATCACCGGTAGACCGGAGCACGCACGCACGCACGCGCGCAAATCCAATATGCCTGCACGTACGCACCTGCTCTCGACCAGCTGCTCCATCACGGTCTGTTTGTGCAGCACATCTTCCAGTCTGGAGCCTACGGCGGCGACTGCTTCACGGACAACCGACTCGCTGATCTGCACCAGGCCAGTCAAATAAAAAACAAAAAGATTATTTGGATCCAAATCGGACCTGAAGTAAATTGAAGAAACCAAACAAAAGCTGGTCCTCCTAATCTGGATTTTGTTTCGTCATAAGCTTTAGTGCAAATCTGTCCAAAGACTAGCATAGATGAGTCTGTAGACGGCTTATTGAACCCCTCAGAAACTTGCTACCTCCTACCTGCTTCGTGGACAGTACGCTGGCCAGCTGCCGGACAACCCCGACCTGCGAGTAATTTTCGAAATGTTATTATCAGGTTTTCGGTAAAATCTGAAAGGGAGGAACGTGCTCTGACGCGACCCGAAATCCTCATGCATGCAAGGGAAACGACCATGCGCAAAACGCACGTTTATAAATCATCATGCAGCAGCAGCAGGGAAATGACGTCACTAATGACCTAATGAAATTAAAATGACGTCACTATGACTTGCCTTCTCCCACATGTTGCGTAACTCAGTCTTCTTAAAGATGCCGTACAGCAGGTGACCCCCGACCAAATGCTTGCTGTCCGGTCCCAGTAGCGGCCGGAGGTCCGCAGCCGGGCTGTGGGTGATGAGGAGCACCAGGAATAAGAGGGTGATGAGGAGCACCAGGAATAAGAGGGTGATGAGGAGCACCAGGAATAAGAGGGTGATGAGGAGCAACAGGAATAAGAGGGTGATGAGGAGCAACAGGAATAAGAGGGTGATGAGGAGCAACAGGAATAAGAGGGTGATGAGGAGCAACAGGAATAAGAGGGTGATGAGGAGCACCAGGAATAAGAGGGTGATGAGCACCAGGAATAAGAGGGTGATGAGGAGCACCAGGAATAAGAGGGTGATGAGGGGCTGGAGTTGGAAGACTGGTGGTTGGTGATGGCGGAGGCGGTTGTCGGTTTACTGTCGTGGCAAGCCATGGGGGCCTTGACAGCGGGGCTTCAAGCCGCGCGTGTTGCAAGGGGGGGGGCACCAGGCCAGGCCTTCTTTGCTACTTGTAATTTTACAACTGTCTGCAGCCCTTTTACGGCATCGCTTTTGCTCCGAAACCCATCCTAGCCACACAGTTGGCCAAACTCAAAACCATAAACCGGGTCATGTTTGGTTCCAAAAACACTCACCTTTCCTACACCACACACACACAACTCACCTATTGAGGATGGCCTCGCCGCTGAGCTGAGAATAGGCGTTACAAGGACCCCGCATTAGGCGTGTCGTACGGCGACCCAAAGATGGCGTCCGACCGCCGCCACCGGCCCCGCCGCCGCGGCCCCCAGCGCCACGGCCGCCGCTGACGGTGGCCACGTTAGCGTGTACGACAGCGCGGGCGCCGCTGCTGCCCTCGCGATACGACACCGGGGGTATGCTATTGGTCTTGTACGACGGCGTGAAGCTGCCGGCGGCTTCCTCCATTTCTTGGAGCAGCTCGTGCGCCTTATGGTGGAGGGGGAATTTGCTGATCACCATGTGCCTGTGTATGTACGGCAAGGCGAACAGGTCATCACGCATCGTGCGAATTACGGCAATACGGAAATGACGTACTACAGGTCCGAGTACTCTCAGGCCCCTCCTCACCATGAGGATGATTGGGCTGCGTGGCCGTGCTTGTGTGAGTGGAGGAACTTTTGTGGCGTGTCGTTGTGGTATTTATATGTGTGTGTATGTGTGTGTGTGTTACATGGTTGGGGGTGAGTGACCCCATACCTGTAAAACTACCCATACGAACCGAAGGCCCAAGGGCAAAATACCTGAACGCCTAAAAGCCACGGAGGAAAGGAAACGCCGCACTATGAGCCCAGACTAACGCCCAAAGGGGATAACTGAGTTACTGTGAGTCTTTGTATGTGTATGTGTATGTGTATGTGTATGTGTATGTGTGTATCGTACAGTCTCGCCTTTCCGCGCGGCCGCTGCCTACGTACCTCCTGCTTGCCCACATCTGGTTGGGGTCCACTGCCCCCGTGTTGTGCTCCAGAGCCTCGATCAGCAGTCGTGGCCGGTTGGTCGGCAGCTGTAGGGCAGGTGGACACGCGCGTGTGTGTGTGTGTGTATATGTGTGTGTGTATGTGTGTGTGTATGTGTGTGTATATATATGTGTGTGTGTGTGTCCCATCCGAGGGTGAGCAAGGCGCGGGAAAAGGGGATGGCGTGGGAAGACTCAGCTTTTCTTTATCAGTCTTATCAGCCGATAACTTACATAGTGGCTCCATAGTGAAGGCTCTTTGGCCCTCTCACGGCTCGGAACGTTTTATCTTAACGCGCTAAGACCAGGGCTCGTATGGGCACTCGTTACACCTCTATATCTGGGTAACGCAACCGAGGGGTAACACACACACACACACATACATACGCACTACATAAATGGGCATATACGCACATACATACATACATACATACATTACCTGCAGATGTTTATTCACCACGGAGGGGTGGTAGGGGTTGTGGCCGATGGAAACCACCTCGGGCTGGTGGCCCCAACTGGTAATCACCTGCGTACATAATAATGGAAACAAAGTACGGTGTTGTACGAAAACAGTCGTACGGCATGATAATATATAAGTATTAAATATTTGACCGAGGGAGGCCTGCCTGCCTTCAAAAGGGCAGACCCCTACACCTTCCCCCTTCTCCCTCGCCCTCGCCCTCACCAACGCCTCCACGACCTTAGCCAAAACCCAAACACCCTTCCTCCCGCACTTGACATGGCCGCCCGATTTCTCCATCCCCCCCTCCCCCCCCTCCCCCCTCGGTGCCCCTAGTCCTCCGCTGCCTGCATGCTGCGCAAGTTCACACCATCACCATCACCATCATCACCATCACCATCATCACCATCACCATCACCATCCTTCTTCCCCCCATCTCGCCTTGGCCTGCAGTAGGCCCAGCAGCACCCAGCTCTCGCTCTTGGTCTGGGAGTACAGGCGGCCGTCGGGGCGGCCCAGGGCGATGAGGAGACCACGAACTACCCGGTGAGTGAAGCGATGGACGAAGTGGTCCACGGGGTTGGCGCCATGCACCTCTGGGGGGCACGCGCGCGCGTGTGTATGTTTGTGTGTGTGTGTGTGTGTTTGTATGTATGTGTGTATGGGGGGGGAGGGGGAGGGGAGGGACGGGGGCAGCGCAGGGAGGGTTTTCGACTGGGGGGGGAGGGGGGGAGGGATTCGGAAGATGGAGGAAAGCAGGGAGGTTGCCGCAATGGGCAGCCTCACCACGTGTGTGAATGTACGAGTGCGTCAGTAACACCGCCCGCTGTGGCGCTCGAATGCGTTTGGCCCGCGGCCATTAGGTCTTTTACTGCGTCTAGACGCCATTACCCCACAGCCCCATCAGCCCCATCAGCCCCAATAGCCCCAATGGCCATACGAGGCCCGCAAAGTTGTGATTGGGAACCTTGATGGCTGGACCCCGATGGATTGATCAATGGACTCACCCACGGAGGCGATGCCGTACGATAACGCATACATCTTGGACACGAACGTCTCGATGATCTGGTGGACGTACGGCACATCCGCTACCACAATCGTACGTTTGCCCATGCGGTGCCATATCGGTCTCCTCTGTGGTAAGGTGGTGTGGTGGTGGGAGGGGGGAAGAAGGAGGAGGCGAGAGGGGGTGGCGGGGAGCCGGTGAAAAGGGTTTTGGGTATTGCCACGGTTTACACACACACACACACACACACACACACACACACACGAGCGCCCAGCGCATAGCAAGCATTGCTCATGGCGGCATGTGCTGCTGTGAACAGGTACTTTACGTACAGACATACATACCTGGATGATCCGCAGTATCACTGCATAGATGATGGGCAGGAACATGTACGCGACTGAGTCCACCGCGAGCGCAACCCTAGAGGGGGGTTGCGGGGGGGGGAGCAAGGAGGGCGAGACGAGAGGAAGAGACGAGGGGAATAAGAAATGAAGGCAACCGAGTTTGCACCCGGAAGTTAGTCAGAGGAACTACACAAACATAACCCCCCTTTCCGTCACCCTCCCCCCTTCAAGATCTCCCCTTCAAGTTCCTGCCTTCCCCCAATGAGACACATACACACACACACAGACTCTCTCACACACACACACACACTCTGGGACACAGATAGACTCACACACACACGCGGACTCTCTCTCTCTCTCACACACACACACACACACTGACAGAGGCACACAAAGACAGACAGACTGACAGACTGACAGACTGACAGACTGACTGACTGACTGACAGACTGACTGACTGACAGACGGACAAACTGACTTACTTGGACACCGCCAGGTCAATGGGCTCGCTGGCCTTCACTAGCAGGCAGATGCCATGTGCCACTGAGTACAGCACGGGCCACCCGGACACCACCGTAGCCAAGATGTGGATGAGGCTGAGCACCCAGGCAGTCGGGGACTCGATGACATGTAGTGCCCACCTGAGAAAGGAGCGAACGGAGTAATTACCGACGGCCGGTGGGAAGGAGGGTTGGGGTCGACAGGCGCTGGAGGCTAGCGGGCTGATGATGTCCCTACTATTCAGGTCTTTGCCACGCAGGGCAGGACGAGCGGGCTTGCGGTCAGAGCAGCCGTACCTTTCAGGCCCGGCAAGGGGGAAGGATCCACGCACCGGCGACACGTGGCTCAGCTTCTAAACAGGCACATGCATACATGCATACATGCATACATGCATACATGCATACATACATATGCACAAAGACGTACGCGCTCCTATACGGTCCACACACCTGCGGCCCTGGCCCACCAGGTTACGGTGGTGGGGGGACTCAAAGGGCTTCCCCTCCGCGTCGCGACCGGTCAGCTGGGGTGCACTAACGTCGATGAAGCGGTCGCGGACGGCCCTGCGTTGGTGTTGGAATTGGTGGTTGGGGCCCGGCGCAGGAGAAAGTGGCGCAGGTGAAAGAGATTGCGGAGAGAAATCTGTTAGACAGGGGGGAATCCCTCCCCCCCAGCACACACATCCCTCTGCTTCCAACCCCTCCGCATCTCCTCCTCCTTCCCCCCTTCACTTTCTTGGATGCCCCCCTCCCTCCCGTTCCCTCCTCATTCAGCAAGCATCATCTACTCGGGTCGTCCGTCCCCACCCCGTCAAGCAACCTTCCCACCCATCTCGCTTTTTCCCCCTCCCCAAAGGACCCAACCATCACCATCCGAACCCAAACACCCCGCCCATCCGGATTTCCAACCTCTAACCCACCCCTAACCCACCCCAGACCCTAAGCCCCTAACCCACCCCAGACCCTAAGCCCCTAACCCACCCCAGACCCTAAGCCCCTAACCCACCCCAGACCCTAAGCCCCTAACCCACCCCTAACCCACCCCAGACCCTAAGCCCCTAACCCACCCCAGACCCAAATCCACCCCAGCTACACAGCCACACACAGCCCCGCACAGCCCCGACCCACCTGAGGTCCACCATGTCGTCTTTGGTGAGTATCATTCCGAGGGGGCGACCGGAGGCACACACACTCGTCATGCGCATGCGGACCTGATGCCAGGAGGGTGATAACAGATTGGGGATGCGGATTGGGGGGAAGGGAGCGCATCCTCAGGGATGGGGGAGCTCCGCGGCGAGTGGGGGGAAAATAGATATTTTTGGGGGGAAGATTGGGGGGATTGCGGCCGCCAAACGTTTGTCATGGCAGAAGTGGTTGTGGTGACGTCATGTCAAGTACGGCAAGGCGACCAAGCTCATGTAGCTCAGGGGTGCCCGAGGGCCTCATGGTTGCGGTGGTTCTGGTGCTATCGTTGTGGTGGTTGCGGTGGTTGTTGGGAAGTGGTTGTGGGAGTTGCGGCGGTTGTGGGCTGGCGGCTGGTGGGTCCACGTATGGGGACGTCGCGGGAGGATATATACCCATTTCACACCAGGAAAGATGCTGATCAACCTAAAACCCTAAAACCCTAAAACCAGGCCGGATCTCACCACCAGGAAGGCCAAGAGCTCGCTGAGTGTCTGGTGCAGCGCCACGCACACGATCGAGGGGGGCTCCGCGCAGCGGCCGCCGGCACAAGAGGTAAGCACACGGCGGGTGAAGGGTGAGTGAGCCGCCACTCGCTGTCCCAGGGCCAGAGCCATCTTTGTGTCGATAGAGCCACACAGCGCGAAAACCCGGCCGGGGAGGAGCTGATTGAGGATGCTGCGTGAGGGGATCGCGTGGATGGGTGGGGGAGAACGTGGGGGGGGGCGAGGGGGGAGGGGGGAGGGGGGAGGGATGCTACAGGGTTGCAACAGAGTGAGGGGGTCGCTGCAGGACGAAACTCACGAAACACACCCCAACATGCACACGTCACGAAAACCTGCCCAACCCGCACCTCCCCCTGGAGCGCTAGCTCATCCTCCATCCTTTCCCCCCACTGAGCGAGACAACGTCAGTGAAGCTGACCCAAAGCTGACCCCGACCCCCGACCCAACCCAACCGCACCGTGATGCGTGGATGGTGGGGAAGGTTTGTCCGGACTGGCTGACTGCGATACACAGCGTGTGATGGTCCGCCAGGAAGGAGGAGGAGGAGCGGCAGAAGGTGGAACCGGTGGGGGGAATGCGGCCGCGGGCGTTACCCAGCACACTGATCACCTGCATGCGCGCGCGTCGTCTGTGTGTGAGAGAGAGAAGGGGGGGAGAGAGAGGGGGAGAGAGAGGAGGGGGGGAGAGAGAGGGGGAGAGAGAGGGGGGGGAGAGAGAGGGGGAGAGAGAGAGGGGGGGAGAGAGAGGGGGAGAGAGAGAGGGGGAGAGAGAGGGGGAGAGAGAGAGGGGGGGAGAGAGAGGGGGGGGGGAGAGAGGGGGAGAGAGTGTGTGTGTATTTGTTACATAGCGATCCATCGGCCAGGGGTACCTAACCATATACCCCAACGCGAACGACCGCTGCAGCATTCTCCTACTTGTGCGTGGAGAGGGCCGTGAGGGCCCATCACCCCTCCTACTCGACCTGTTATATGTATTGTATTGTATTGTATTGTGGTTACAGTATTTCCGCCGCCGACGCGGCGGGTGCCCTCACGAGCCGTGAGGCTCCAGAGCACGCTGTATACATATGTGCGTGTATGTGCGCGTGAGTTCGCGTTGAAGTCCCTACTCGTTCCTTATGTACACACAGATTACGCAAAATAAGCAGACATATATACATAATATATATAATACATGTAATATTTACCGCATAAAAAATGGTAGTACGGTAGTGTCGTACATACCTTGTTCGCGCTGACTGCCTGTACGGAAAGTTGTGGGAAGACCAGTTTTAAATCCCCCGCCCATTGTTCAGCAATCCACAATGAGGACTCCACGCCGGTGATGAGAACGTCCACTCCGGGTCGCTGAGAAGCAGGACCGCCGCCATTCATGGCAAACTGCCGTACCGATTATTATTTTGCAGCGGAAGGGTGGGGATGTCCGTGTGGGATTGAGCAAGAAGGCGGAAGCGTGTGTGTATGTGTGCGAAAGCGTGTTTACGTTTGTGTCCATGTTGGAGAAGGGGTAAATATGGGTTGGGGGAAATATATGGGTTTGAGGGAAATGTGAGGAGTTCACGAAGCAAAGCATACGGGGGGAAGGACCTGGGCGGGGCGAAGAGATAAGGCGCGACAAAGACTACTCCACCCCCTCCACCCCCTTCACCCCATTTCCACCCCATTTCCACCGTCCCCGCCGACCCGAATCCCCTTCACCCACCTCCACCAGCTTGTCCAACATTTGGAACAGCTCCTCAGCAGTTTGGCGGTTCAGAGAGCCGGGGTCGGTCCTGGAGCAGCCAGGGTCGGAGCGAGGGAGGGGCGGTGGGGTGGGTGATGTGCTGTGGGTGGGTGAGGCGATGCGCGTAGGAACGTGGCACGGGCCCTGGCGAAACCCCTACGCCCCCACATCTCTAAAACCCCCTAAAACCCTAAAACCTTAGAAAACCCTACAGCCACGCCTCTTCCCCCCCCCCACCCAACCCCCCCAACCCCGCCACCCCCACACGCACCAGGTGTCTCGTACGATCCCAAGCACCCGAGTAACATCCGCGAGGTCGTCCGCCACGTAATCCCGACCCGGGGTAAGGTCCAGGGAGGGGGAAAAGGTGATGTACGGATTGTTGACCAGCTGTACGATGCGTTCTGCAATAGTACGGGACGACCGACGGAGGAGAAGGGAGAGCGGGCGCGTGGAGGTGGGTTGCGTGTGGTGGGGCGAGGGGGGGGCCCTTGAAGGGCCGGGGAAATCGAAGTGAGGAAGAACAGAGAGGCGAAAGATAAGATGGAAAGGGGAAATGAAAGGAAAGGAAAGGAAGGGGAACCAACGTTCCCCCCCTTCACTGGCGGCAGCGCCTAGGACCTCTCATTTCCTCGGCTTTTGTCTTTATCTTGTCTTTATCTTGTCTTGTCATGTCATGTCTTCCCTAAATTGCGGATTGTTCCGATTGCGGCCACTGGATGTTATCTTCTACCATGTTCCTAACCCCCACTCTGCCCAGTTCCCCACTCCCCACATACTCCTCCCTCTCTCCCCATCTCTCCCCCCTCCGCCCCGCCCCTCCCCTCCC